GAGAGAGAGAGAGAGAGAGAGAGAGAGGAAATCTACATCCAGGTACTTAAAGATGGTTGTGTAGAAAAGGAACCTGCCTCTGATTTTCAGGAGACAACCAATAATCCTAGGAGATTTAGTACCTATATCTCTCTTACAGTAAAATGGAAGCTTAGGCTGGAAAGATTAGGTATAGTTGGAAGGACACTTGGGAGGGGTAAGAGTTTGGATTAACTGTCAGCTTTGTTTGTTGTGTATTTTTATTTCCTTTAGAGAAACATTAAGGATTCTGTTAAAATTCCCTTTTCTAATATATGTCTTTGCTTCATTTTAGAATGGTTACACTCCTTTACATATTGCTGCCAAGAAGAACCAGATGCAGATCGCTTCTACACTCCTCAGCTATGGAGCCGAGACCAACATTGTGACGAAGCAAGGTGTAACTCCACTTCACCTGGCCTCACAGGAGGGGCACACAGACATGGTCACCTTGCTGCTGGACAAGGGAGCTAATATCCATATGTCAACCAAGGTATTCCATTCTTCTTGCTTCATTACAGACTTGCGGATGAATGCAAACAGAAACCAATATGAGATACTTTGGAGTAAAAATGAAAAGAAGGACACAGGGATGTTTGTAGACACAAGGCAGGCAGGGAAGCAAGCCTTGTGAGGGACTGGAAGACCATGAGAAACAAGGGAGTCGCTCTCTCAGATTTTCTAACTCTACAACTGTTTTTGCATCTTTTCTTTGTAAGTCAGTTTCACTGACCTCTTTCTTTAGATCTGTTTCCTCTGGTTCTCTGTGCTAACCTCTGAAGAGGCTACTGTGTAACTCCCAAGAATTAGTATCACTGTAGTTTAAACAGCTATCCCAGACTGCATGAGTTTTTGCTGTCCCTAATTCAAAATTCAAGAGAAGGGGTTTAGGGAGGAAAGGAAAGAGATAATGGTTTGATCTGGGGTTTTGTTCAAAGATGAATCAGATGGGCTCCCATGTAACACCCAAATTACACCCATGTAATGCTCCAGCCCAACTGAGTGCCAGAGTATCGATGGTGGTGAGGGAATATTCAGTAAAGTATAGTCACAGATATATTCAAACCTAAAAATATTTTGATTTTTATGTGTGTATCTGTCTCATCTATCTGCAGTGTGTGTGTGTGTGTGTGTGTGTGTGTGTGTGTGTGTGTGTGTAGTCTTCATCTGTCTGTTATATATTCTACTGGAGGTAGATGCTGAGAAACTAAAACTTGGAATCTGTGTTTAGAAGTTAGTTCATTATTTGAATCTTGGTGTTCTGTGTAACAGATGGTTTGGGTCTAGTGACAATTAAGCTAGCTAGAATTTTCTGAAAGCATACAAACACTTTGTTTATTGTGGTTTCTGAAGTATTCAGTGTAGATGGACCCTGACACATGTGTAGGTGGTGTGTGTGGTGTGTCTTCCGTAGGAGGAGCCGTGACACAGGTGGATTGTCCTGAGTGCGCTGGGTCTTACCACTCCGCATCCCTTACCTTCCTCCGCTGATCTGCTTGTATCAAAGCTCTTCAGATCCTTTTAAAAAGTATAATGTCCTACTCAAGTTTTTGTTCCAGTAATAAAATGCGTAAGACGGGGAAATTTATAAACAATAGAAATTTATTTGGCCATGGTTCTGGAGGGTGAGAAGTCCCAGATTATGGCACCAGCATCTGCCCAACATTGGATGGGGCCCTTCTTGCTCCCCCAGACACGGCAGAGGGTATCCCACGGTCGGACTACGAGCAGGTCAGCTCAGGCCACTCTTTCTCTTCTTACGCGGCAGGGGTGGCAGAGCATGGCATTCGTGCTGTGCCCAGCTGTTGATTTCTTAGTCACACGTTCTGACCACATTCCTCATTAGGAGCCACCACGTACACGATATATCTTGGTTCTTGTTTTTCCCATTCCTTTCTTCCCTTCCTCCCCTCTATCCCTCCCTATTTACAAAAAGCGTTTTTGTGTTTTCCTTCTTTTTGCATTTTTCTTTCTTTCTCTTCTTTCCCCTACCCCCTCACGCTACTTTCCTTTCCCCTTTGCACCCTTTATTCTTATTTCAAATTATTTATTATATATTTTGGTCCTCATTTATACTTTCAGTTTCTCACACCAGAGAAACTATTTGGGATTTATACATGTATGTACTATTTATTGCACTTAAGGATGTCTCTTCAGTGTACATTCATTTAGCTATAAATGTCTCTGTTTATCATTCTTTATGGCTGAGTAGTACTCCATTTAAAAACGTATCTTCTTTATCCAGTCACAAGCTGATGGGTATTTGGGCTGTTTCTAAGATTTAGCTATTACAGACTGTGCTGCTATAAACATGGGCACACAGGTATTGTTGCAGTATGATGTTTTTAATTCTTTTGGGAAGATACCCAGTAGGGTAGTAACTGGGTCAAATGGGACCTCTAATCCTAGTTCTTTGAGAAATCTCCATGCTGATTTTCACAGTGGTTGCACCAGTCTACGCTCCCACCAACAGTGGAGAAGGGTTCCTTTTCCCCCACAACCCCGCCAACATTTGTTATTGATTTCTTGATTGCTTTCATTCTTTCTAGGGTGAGGTAGAATCTCAGCATTGTTTTCATTTGCATTTCTTGAATGACCAGTGATATTGAATATTTTTCATATGTTTATTTGCTGTTTCTACTTCTTTGTTGGAGAAATGTATGTTCATTGCAGATGCTCATTTTTGGATTGGGTCTTTAAATTTGGGGGGGTCTGATTTTTTTAAGTTCTTCATATATTCCAGATAGCAGACCTTTGTCTGAGGAACACCAGCTGTTTTTTATCATTGAAAGCTCTACAAGGTTCACCATCACTGTTATAAGAATACCAATGACATCATGGGAGTTGGGGAGCTACTTTATGACTTCATCTTATGCTAGTTACCTCTCAGCCCTATCTTTAAATGTCATCAACAGATGAATTTAGGGATTAAATTTCTAACACATGAACACTTGAGGGAATATATTCAAACCATAGCATATGATAAGAGCTAATTAAGAATTAGTCTCCTAAAAATATTTGCGTTTTAACAAAAATGAACGTAACAAAGCCTTATAGCGAAATTTTGTGTACAGGCATTAAAATCTGGGGCATTGAACTCGCACCATTCAGGTGGCCACTTACCCTCCTGGGATGTTCTCACCAAGAATCATGGAGCATTTCACTCACTGTCAGTCTAGGAAGGGCACATGGATTTATTATCTACTAAACACATAATTTATTTAATAATAAGCAAGTGAAGTCAAATAAACCAGTAAAATTTGGAGTAGAATTAAATTTAGACAGTTCATGAAAGTGATCATACAGTGCATCTGATGGTGTTATTTTTAACTAATAAAAATAATAGACATATATTTGGGATGAATTCACTGTCTTCCTTAATAATGTTCTCCTAAGTATATTACTTTTTATAAAAGTCTTTGTACTCAGCCAGCTAGTATTTAGTGAGTATTTTGGAGTTGCACACTCAATAATAGAGAAAAATATTCAGTTTTGAGTTACAAAATAGTTATAGTGCCTTTATAAAAATGATTTGAGTATTGTATCATTTTTATTACTTTTTTTGTTTTGTTTTGTTTTGGTATCGGGGATTGAACTCGGGTCCTTGTGCTTGCAAGGCAGGCCACCGAACTGCTGAGCTAAATCCCCGGCCCAATTGTATCATTTTAAAAGACAAATCATGATATATTCCTAAAGACAAAGGCATGATATATTTGTGAATAGAGTAAAACTTTTGTAGATATATATGAATGATAATATAACACATAAATTCTCACTATACAAATAACCTTACTTTTTTGGTATAATAAATGCAACTATTAAAATATCTCAGGGAAAAGGCAAAATCAATAATCAATTTTCCCACTGCTTTTGAAAGGGACATATATTCTTTGGCTGAAGTCGACTAAAATCAATCATTTCCTTCTCTCCAAATTATTTCTCAGTGAGAACTACAGCATAGAACTGATGCTATAGTCCTTGTCCAATCACCATATAACAGCAAAATACGGTAGAATAAAAAGTTGTATTGTTCACTAGTGTATCTTATAAAGTGGCTTATATTTTCTTAAAGAACTTCTTTAACATCTCCTGTTTTCTTGGTTTATTAGGGAGGTTTATATAATTTGATTTCAATGTTCAAGTTTATCATAACAAACATACTGATTGTTCATTTATAATCCTATTTTATAAAAAAGCCATTCTGTAAACAGAATATGTGGTACATTTGATATACCATTAAAATTGTCTTTGAGATATTTGATGATTGCTTCATTTAATGATTACTTCCATAAAATTTTTAAATAAACCAATTTTCTCTACTAAATGAAATATTTCTTGTATTTACTATTTTAAGATGGAGAAGATTCAGTGTAAGGTAGAATCTTCTGTTTTGTCCTCATATTCAAGTTATGTCCACGTTAGGGTTAAATAATAATTGTCTTCTATCTCACCCTGATGTTTCATGAAATTCAAAGATGAGTACAGCTGGAGCTCTAAGAATTAAAAGGTCCCAGGTGCCCCAGTGCAATTCTCTGGCCAAGTTGAAGAGTGTCTTTTCTCCGTGGGTGTCACATATTATTTAAAGGTCAGAGGACTTGTTCATTTCTAGAGGTACAACCGTGGCTGGAGGTGGTGATTTTGAAGAGCATGGTTTGTCCTTCTCAGCTTAGCTGCTATAAAGGGATGGGCAAAGTGGTGACCACCAATTTTGATTCATGAACTGGTGATAGAAGGGTGCAGTCGACCCAGAGCATAGGCAGCTACCTCATTTTACAGCTGCAAGATGCAGGAAAAGGATGAATGTTCACGGTGCTTGAGTAATAGTTGGTATGAATGCACTGTAAGCTATAAGCTCTCTGAAGGCCAGAATCTCTATTCATGGCCATATCCAGTTGCCTGGAACACTTCCTTGCATAAGATAATACTCAAAAAATTCCTGTTAAACATACAAATGATTTAGGTTTTTAAGATACTTTTAAAAAATTCTGTTTTGCTGGTGGAAGCAAAACTGAGTGAAGCTGCCAGAGTGTAGCACTAAGCAAATGACTTCTTCCTTTCTTTTTTCGTTCTTTCATTTTTATTAATTCATAACTGTATTTTATTTGCATAGACTAATAAACAAAATAATTATCTGATGTGTATATGCCAGACCTTTTTTTAACAACTAGCCAGTTTATGGTGCTTTATAAATGTTAGGATTATGTTTCATAATTTAGCAGCTAGAAGAACAATCAAAAAAATAAAATAGGAGTACCTTCTCTGTGTGCTTGAAAATTATTCTGAACTAATTTCTTATAATTTTGCACGTTTTTAACATTGATATGAAATTCTGTTGACAGAAATGTAGATTATTGTTGTGGTTATGAAGTAACAGTAGTATTTGGTTGATCGATTAAAGTAAATAAATAGATGCAGCAGGAGGCCCAGCTGGCTTTGAAGCAAGTGTTTTCTGGAAGCTTATGAGCTGAGTTATTTAAAAGCCTCACATCATAAATACCCAGTATAGAAAGCAGCAAATGCAATTCACTGAGGGTGTTGGTTAACCTAGAGAATTAGTCTTGGATGGAAAGTTGTATTAACTTAGGGATTGTCCTAGGTATCAACAGATGTGATTCCTGGGGAAAGAAAGGCTCCAAGTTTCCCAGGAGCTTCTTCAAAACATGAAAGTAAGTGCTGTCAAATGCAGTGCATTTTCCTCTTTGAGTGAACTTTCTCTCTATGTTCATTCTCTTTCTAGAGTGGACTCACATCCTTACACCTTGCAGCCCAAGAAGATAAAGTCAGTGTTGCTGATATTCTCACCAAGCACGGGGGTGACCAGGATGCACACACAAAGGTAAAGCCAGTCACTGTCAATGCTGTGATGAGTTCTGGGTGAATTCCAGTAGGCCTCATTCAGATCGGCCCAGTCAGGTCCACTCTCCCCAAAGGCATTTCAGAGTCTCACAAACCTGTTGTACCCTGCTTTTGTTGGAATCAAATCCTAATGCAGCACATGGTACCCAGATCCCTTCCAAAAGACCAGTTTTACAGGCTTAGCCCACCCTTCGCTTCATGGGTCCAGATGGTTTGCTGGCTTCCTTCTGAGTCTGCTCAACTGCATGCTCTTGGTCTTGCCATGGCTTTTCCCTCTCTGCGCCACAAAAGTCTACTCCTTCCTTAAGCCCACGTTAGCTCCACTTTTTCTGTGTCTCTCCTTCATCCTCCTTGGAGTCTGTCCCCTCATCTGTTGTCAAATCATATTGTATGTGCATCGCTTTTCAAATTAAGCCACACACATTTCTGATCTCCTTTGCTGATGTAAAGTCTCGTATGTTCAGGGGCCTGCTTATATCCATATTTGTAACCACAGTATACATATACAATCTGCTAAATAATTTTTATATAAGCAAACTGAATTTCTACCCTTCCTACAGTAGCTGAAATTCTACCTAATCCCCTTCCCCCTTTGATTATTACCTACTAGAGTAATGATGCTTCTGCTTTATAATTTTATGATTTATTTGTTATTTACAGCTTGGTTACACTCCTTTAATTGTGGCCTGCCACTATGGAAATGTGAAAATGGTCAACTTTCTGCTGAAGCAGGGAGCCAATGTTAATGCAAAAACCAAGGTAAAATACTTGGATTCATTTTTCCTTTCTATAAGCAGAGAGGTTCAACCATCTGAACACTTCACCAACTACCATAGCTACAATTATTTTTTAAGTTCTTTTAATGTGATTTGGAAGAGGCCATGTAATTTTGTAATTGTTTGAAACTCTTCATTCAGTAAACATTGATAGCCACATAGGTTAGCCTCAAAAGGACCTGTGTAATAAAGTAGTTGACATCGATTTAACAAGCTGCTGCAGGATATAATAGAGGCCTGCTAGAACAATGGATGCCTTAGCATGTTTCCTTTACCTGTTTCTGGGCCCTTGGCCCTGGTCCCCATCCCAGTCAGGCAGCCTAGCCTGCATACCTTTCACTTTTAGCAAACTGTCGCTTTGGGAGAGTTACGTGTTCGTGCTCAGTGGGGCGGACGTGAAGAAGGCCTGCACTACAGGCTGGCAAGGGCAGCAAAGAGCCCATTCCATCCCAACAGCTTTTCCCAGTGCCACTTTAGGGGTCCTCTTTGCCAAGACAAGGTCAAAACATGACCCCTGCAAATTCAGTGTGCTCAAATTGTAGAGAAAGCCATGATAGAACTGCTGTTATTATTCATCACATCACTTGCTGCTCCAGGATCTTTGATCCAAATAACTATTTTCATGTTGCCTTTAACTTCCCAGATCAGAAATTGCTAATGTCAGTTATGTGGCCTCAAGGCAGGTGGTGCGCATATTCAGAAGTTTCCAAAGCCACCACCCAGGATGCTACTAATTAGAAATCTATAAAAGTTTCATAAGTCAACATTTTTATAACCTCTTAGCAGTGAAAACACAATTATGTCTATAAATAATCATGCTCACAAGCTAAATTGAAAGAAACTTGGAAACTTGTCTTGTAAATTATAGTTATTCTGTAACATTTAAGCTTCAAATTCATAATCTTACCCTAGCAAAAAGAGCTGCTACCTAGTTTTTGAGCAATTTTGAGTTTTTATGAAATTTTACTTCAGTGTTTATTTAAAAGCTCTCAGATGATTTTTCAGACTTCATTTCCTAGCATCATTTTTGCTGAGCCAGCTACAAGTGAGCATTCCTGGAAAGACATTTTTGTTGGAATGCAGGGATTCTCCAGAGAGGTGCAGAGGACCACGTAGTGGGACCTTAGCAGCACTTGATATGTTTGCTGTGTTTTTATTAAGCTTTTGGTTGTTGAAATGGTTATAGTGAGATGGTTAATATACAGGTATTGTTGTCTGTGCAGTGCCAGTGCCCTCCATGGGGTTAGATCTATATCTCAGCACATCTGATGGAGAGAAAAGTTGCAATTTTGTTGGTGAACTGTGTAGCTTTTACTGTGGTATTTGGAACAAACTTAGGGGAGTTGATAGATACAAACCCCCAGAGGAAAACATGTAACAAACTCTTCAGAATTTTTTCATATAGAGGGATATCTCTGAGCAAGGAATTACATTTTCTTCCTGACATTTCATGTGCAACTGTAGTTACTAAATGATGGTTTCATTCCTTTGAAAATGCATACATACGAGGCAGGTGTGGTGGTGCATGCCTATAATCCCAGCATTCTGGGAGACTGAGGCAGAAGGACCACAAATTTGAGCCTAACCTGGGCGATTTCACCACTTCGGGAGATCATGTCTCAAAACAAAAAACAGAAAAGAGATGGGAATGGAACTCAGTTTCAAAGGCCTTCAATTTAAGTCCCAGTACCTCAATTAAAAAAAAGAAAGAAAATGAGAATGCTCATGTTGCTTTACTCCTCAATGACTCATAACATGGTATAAAAGATTTAGAACGTATGGAGTTATTGGTTGCTTAAAATTAGAATGAAACAAAGCAAGTGGTGCCCCTGTCCAGTCTATACATGGTGGGTTCATGTCAGGAGAAGGAAATACGTATGTGCACATGAATCCTCAAGGACACGGGCTACAGGGAACACACACCTTGCACGTCTAGATGATGTTATAGAGATTTACTCTTATTAACATGGGGCAGGAATGGACCATCAGATTGTAAAGCCTACTGCAGTTGTGTCCTGAAAATTATAGATTTTTATCAGGAGTGAGGCAAGTAGATTATAAAAGTAGTTTTGAGACACACTGGTTGTCATAATCGACACAGGAACTGAACCTAGAATGATAGTGAAAACATTACTTTCTATTTTCAATTTTGTCATCTCTGAAATGGGGAGAAAAATATTCATTTATGCAATTATTTGCTCATTACCCCTTTAGTCAGCCATTCTTTCTGAAATACCTATGATGCACAAGGCACCCTCATTTAACCGTGCTAATGAAGACTAGATGAGAAAACAATTTCAAGGGCCAGCTACTGGCACAGTAAGGGTTGCTGTTACTGTTTTGGTGTACTCCAGGGTTCCAGCATGACTTTTAAATGAATGCTAATATGCAGCATCTTATATCATACCTAACCAGCCCTGCAACTCTTAGTAAGACTGGCCTCAGTAACCTTGCCAATGATTCTTCAGAAATCAAAGACTACAGGGCTTTCATCTGTGTGGGAATTCAGACCAGAATGCTGAAAACTAGTTTTTAAAGACATATTTTTATTGAGGATGGGCCATGTACTTCTGATAACATCTCTTTTCTCCAAGTGCATGGATGTGTTCTATACTCAAAGCTGTTCCTGGAAATGAATATAAGGCTTAGATTTATTTTCACTGATTCAGATACTATAAAGCAAACCCAAAGGTTAATTGCCAGGGAAGGAGGATAAGCATGCAAGAGTTTGTGTGACCCTCTGCAGCCTTCTTTTAAAAACAAGTTTACTCTTCCCTACTTCCTAACTAGGGAAGAAACCAGAGACAATGTCCTTTTCCATTTTAAATCTCTATGCATACCCATTTTTAATGCTGATTGCTTACAAGATAATAATAGTTATGCTCAGAGAGTCTTTTTATCTCCTTGTTTCATAAGCTAGTCTCTGCTTTGTTTAGCAGAGCAGAAGGTGTGAGGGAGGGTTTGCTGCTGAGAAATGGGTTGCTGGGAAAACTGGGCTCCAAATAAACAAAGCATCTTTTGATGGTTTTGTTGTAAATAAGACCAGGAAGTAAAGACCAAAGGCTAACCTCGTTTTCCTCTCCCCCTGCAAATCACTGCCACCTCCGACCCCAGAATGGCTACACGCCTTTGCACCAGGCTGCCCAGCAGGGCCACACTCACATCATCAATGTCCTGCTGCAGCACGGAGCCAAGCCCAACGCCACCACCGCGGTAAGCCAAACATGCACACCCCTGTCCCTCACCAGGTTCCGACCTTCCTCGCTCGGGCCAGGGTGGCCTCTTGTCAGAGCTAAGTTCTCATATGTACAACTCAAGTAAGCCTCCGGACCCTGGAAAGCCCCTGATTTCTGGAAAACCTTCCCAGAAGTCAATGTGACTTCCGGAGAGTGCTTGCCCGGGAGGGATACCAGTTGGCCTCACTCAGTTGGCTCTCTGGAGAGCAGAGCCCTGGGCTTGGCAGGCTGGAACCTACTCTGTCTGCAGCTGGCTCTCAGATGTGAGCAGGAATCACACTTCCCTCCCAGCTTTCTTAAGGGAGCAGCATTCCTAGCTGCTGCATTAGACAAAGCTCATTGGGACGCGAAGCCATTGAAATGTAAACCAAGTAGTGCAGTTAAACAAACCGGATCTCAAGCGGCCTGAATGGCTGGCTGTGTTACTTTGCTGCAGCCTCAGCTTCCACACAGCTGAAGCTAAATATGTCACTGCGTTCCCAGGGGTAACCCCTCACCTGCAGCGGATGGCCCGACCGCTGTTGAGGAGTAAGTGTACCTAGTTCTCCTAAGAACATTTAGAGGCTTCATCCCGTCAGAGGATGCTTTCCTAATCTCAGGACTGCATTGTAGATGTTCGACAACTTTAGGGTTAAGCATCAAGTGCTTCTTATTAAAAAGAGCAGGCAGGCTCAAGCTTGTTGTGTTACCATGGTGACCTGGGCTATAGTCTAAAGAAGTTACAAAGACAGATTTAGATGTAATGGTAAAAACTAGTGATTTTCCTCAGCCGTGCCTTGTTTTGGAAGGAAACGCTGGCTCACGCAGAGCCTCGGCGATGCCGTTGGCCCACATCACAGACTTCTCATCTCTCGTTCCTTGCTCTTTCCCTCCCGTCAGAATGGTAACACTGCCTTGGCCATCGCGAAGCGTCTGGGCTACATCTCCGTGGTCGACACGCTGAAGGTTGTGACTGAAGAGGTCACCACGACCACCACAGTGAGTACAAGGGACAGGTCAGCTGCCGTGGTTTTCCAGCCATAGACTTTGCCGCTCTTGGTGTTTAGAGCACTTCATGTGGGACTTCTGTTAAATGTGCTGCAGAGTGTATACAGAAGTGTGCAGAGCTAAATGCTTTGCACAAAGAAAGCAGGGTTGAGGATTCTTTCCATCAACATAATTTCATATAAAATGTGTGAATACAGTATTTCAGGTTCAGCATCTTTTTCTGTGACTTTTTCCTGGCTCCTCCGCCCTCTCCCTCCAGTGTGTGACACCCACTGCTGGCTAAACAGGAGCACATTCCCACTTCGCATCAGATCCCTTGGTCTTAACCAGCTCATTCACCTCTGTGGGGTCCTGCAGCTCCCCAGCCGTGCTGTGAACTCTGGATTAAGTCACTCCCAGCGAGATCAATCATCCAGCCTCACTTTTCTTATTTCTGATTATTATTTTTTATTTACAAAGAAAGTTGACCATGCTTACTAAGTAAACTGCCTGCTTCATGGAAGCCTGTATATTTAAATTTCCCTGTGTGTTTTCACTGTCTTAATACAACTACTGAGTCCTTAGGAGAACGGTGGTGCTTCTTTGGCGTTGGCTAGAGAATCTCAGGAAGGGGGAATACCCTGCAGACCTGGATTCCTAGTGCTCCTACACCATTCACAAGCTGCCTGGAGGCTCCTAGCAGAAACTGGAAATGCTATTGCATTTGCATTTATTTGCTTATTAACTCTTTAAGCAAGGACTCTAAGAACAACTCTTAATTTTTGGCAAGTAGAAAATTAGAACACCAGGAAAACAGAGGTTTTATAGGGACAATAAAAGCATAAATAAATTCTGAACAGGGTTCTAGTAAATGCCCCAGGACTTTGGGAACGCTTGGTTCTGTTGATCAATGCGAGGGAGAGAAGGCAATTGTGTTCTTACTGCTGACAGTAAGTTCCCATTGACATCCACTGAGGTAGATGGAATACAGTTGGTTTAATGTTCAGTTTTAAATAGAGTGGACTATGATTTATTAATGAACTGCAAGATACAGGCTGAATTGAGATGAGAGATAATAGAACTCTTTGCTTTCTCAAGTGGAATCTTAAAACTTGTAGCCAGTACACCACAATATTTTTAATGATTTAAAGCATAGCTTTAATAAATTATATAGAGGGAAAACAGTCTTGCTACTGCCTAGCACCATATTTGTGGGTCACTATATATAGCTGAATATTTTTCTCTTATGTTAAAAGATAACTTTCTCTATGTTTTACTTAATTTTGTAAATTGACACATAAAAGTTGTCCATATTTATTAGAGTGCCTTTGTGATTTTTTTTTTTTTTTTGGTACCGGGGATCGAACTCGGATCCTTGTGATATTTTGATACCCACTGTATAATGTTCAAGTCAGGGTAAACATATCTAGCCCCTCAAACATCTAACATTTCTTTGTGGTGAAGACAACCAAAATTCTTTCTGTACTTGCCAGGCAGGCACTGTGCCGCTAAGCTACATCTCCAGCCTTGATTTATCATAGGAGGAAGATCTTCATTTTCAGGACCTATACACATATACCGCTTTACTTAGTACCTTTAGAACAATGTGTGCATCACAAATAAATGACAAGATTGGCTAAACATATATGTATTTAGAAGTCTGGCTCTGTTTTGCTGCACTCTGGGAATCGTGTATGTATGTTTTTGACAATGTACCATTAGATGGCAAGCAGGCATCTCTTTCCCTCTCTTGGACTTGCTTTTCTATTTTTTAATTAATTTATTTATTCCTTCATTATTAATTGATGTAAAATATGTGCTGGACTCCATGCTGTGTGTGGAAGGGTCATTAGAGGTTAAACATGACTTAGAATGTAGCCAGAGAGAATGGGATTTATACTTTGCAAGAATATAAGTTCTTCCTTTACATCAATGCTATAGAATTTACATTGTCAGTGTCAAAGAGTGCTCAGGTTCATACCTGTTACTTAGAGCAAATAGCTTTAAACATAAAAGATCTATATTGTAAAAGAAGAGCAATTAGCTTTCTGGAGTTTGTCTCTAAATATTCTAATTACTGTCGCTAAGCAAACTCTCAGATGTTTATAGAGGGATCATTTCTTCTCTGAATTTAGTTCTAGGGAGACATGACAGCTCCTTTTTTGCATTCTTTAAGTTTTATTTTATTTTCCTGGTAACTTATTCTCCATGCACTGTAGCACAACATTGTTTTCAAAAGACAACAACAAAAAACCCTTTGAGTTTCAAGGTGAGCAAACAAATATAAAACACAAGAGCATTTCTGCTTTCAGCTAAGATAATATGGATCATTGTCCACTTTAATTATATAAATCCCCTCTTTATCGAGGTGGGTACGTTTAGTGGTCCCATAATTTAATATTCTGTACCTTTAGCTCCTCTGAATTGGCTTTTCATAGAGTTAAAAGTTAAATTGTCTTCGGAAATGAAATTTGAGGGTAATGACAGGAAGTAGGAATTTGATTTTGTCTATTATGGGAATCTTCTTGCATCATACTTCCTTTCTTTAGGAATAATTTTTCAATAATTTTTCCCACATAGTTTCTCATATAATGTATTGTTATGATATTAAAATAATAATTAATATTTAGTATTAAGAATATTCCAGCCAAGGAGGGCTGATATTCAATTGAAATTTAGGTTGTTGGATTCCAAAGCCTGTGTTCCTAACTACTGTCCTAACTACTGATCGTGGTTATGTTGAAAAGTGTCTTCACAGGTGTTCCATGAAAGAACTATTTTTACTTAGTTTTCAACAAAAATCCCAAGTAAAACAGCGCCTTTTATTGGATTTTGTTGGAACATCGTATTCGATACAATTTTCTAAATTCTATAGATTCACCAAAAATAGTTTGGAACCACTGACCTGTGATAGCCCATAGCTTGAGGCAACTTAATAATTAGGTACAATTAATAAAATTAAAATTGATGTTATTACCATTAAGTGTAATAGTTGAATTAGAGCCACACAAACAATGTGCTGTTTTTACCTCCACTGGGTTCCTGTGATGTCTTTGAGCAACCATGTGAGTTCTGAAGATCAAAGAAAGTTCCCTTTGCTTTTCTTCTTTCCAGAGTTCTTTACCCCAAAGTATGAATAAGTCTTTGTGCAGTGGGCAGAGGAGGGCAGCAGCTTGTAAAGGAATCATTACTGCTGCAGACATTTCCAAGACATTTTAGAATCTTGGCTTGTTTCTTTAACCTTAGCTGTTCTAACTTCACTCTGAGAAGCGCAGCAGGGAGGATGAGACCGTTTAGCATCCTGCTGAGGCACAGTCATGCTGTGTTTGCTGGAATGGACAACGGGTAGTAGGGCCGCATTTCTGGCCGGCTACTCAGGCAGTTTGAAAAACTGCTAGAGTTGACTCATCCTCCATTCTTGATCAGCCATCATTGATTATTTTCATTATTTGTATAGTCTTCATGTTTTATATTCATATAATCATTAATAATAAGTACAATATGAATGACCTAATAAATTACTAAAATAAAAATATTAGATATAAGTGATATTGTTGTTTAAACATGGGGAAATTTAGACCCAGCTGTCCCTTTGCTGGGTATCTTTCCAAAATAATTAAAAGAATCCTAACAGCGATTTATGTGCACCCATGTTTACAGCGGCACAGTTTGTAATAGCTAGAACTTGGAAACAGCCCAATTGCCCATTAATTGGAGCCTGGATAAAGAAGATGTGGATTTTCTATAAAATGGAGTACTACTCAGCCATAAAGAATGAGAAATTAGGGCTGGGGATTTAGCTCAGTGGTTCTGAAGCCTGCCTCGCAAATGCAAGGTCCTGAATTCAATCCCTAGTACCAAAAAAAAAAAAAAAGAATGAGAAACTAGATTCATTTATAGCTAAATGGATGCACATTGAGGCTATACTCTTAGGTGAAATAAATAGGACACATGAGTAAATACCAAATAGTTTCTCTGGTGTGAAAAACTAAAAGTGTACATAAGGTTCAAATGGTATAATTGATAGTGCGAAATAGGAAGAAAAGGGCTAAAGGAGTAGGGGAAGTGGGAAGGGGAGAGGAAAGGAAATAAAGGGAAAGAAAAAATATGAGAAAAGGAAAAAATGGAGACAAAGTCTTTGTAAATAGGGAAGGGTGAAGGAAGGGCAGGGGTAGGGGAAAAAATAAGAACCAAGATACATCATGTAAAGGTACAAGATCCCAATGATAAATGTAACTGTATTGTATACCTTAAATGTACCAGTAAACTTAATGGAAAAAAAATGGGGAAATTTATTACAAGCAATTAAGAAAGTATGAATGGTCAAAGTCCTGAATCTTTTCTGATAATGTGTCTGTTACAGAGGGAATTATAAAAGTAGCAATGCAATAAAGAAATGTCACCTGACACTTTTTGAGCCATCTTCTCTGTAAATATAGTATAGGTCCAAACTAGATGGCTAAATTGTTTTTCTTATGCAAACCACATCAAGAATACATGTAGTGGGCTGGGGATTTAGCTCAGCGGTTCCGTGGCCTGCCTTGCAAGCGCAAGGACCCAAGTTCAATCCCTGGTACCAAAAAAAAGAATACATGTAGTACTATATAATGCACCTGTATATAGAGCGTATCTATATAGTCTATATAGATAATCTGTAATTGAATCTATATTATATTTGTACATCCTTTGTGCTGTCTTAGACATTATCCTGAGTTTAAAAACTCTGACATATCTTTGTCCAACCTGTTTTAATTGTCTCACCCAAACCTAATTTGGTGTAGCGACTATTTTTGGTGACTTTTCTTCAGACAGATTTTCTAGAGTATAAACTTAATTTTTTTTGGAAGAAATATTCATATAGTATTTAATTTAATTCCCAAAGTTACAGTAACATGCATGTTTGCAAACAAAAACCAGCTTAGATTGTAACTCCTGGAATGGGAGCCCATGGTGTGGACATCGGCCGGTGACACACTGGCAAGGCCACTCAGCGTTCCATGTGATATAAAGGAAGGGGTGCGTTAGAGGGGGATTTGTTAAGTGCAGGTCCATTAAACACACTTTTTCATCCCAGATATTGTCCAGCATCTATAAAATATTATGTTATGGACTCATGCTTTATTTTTTACATTTTCCCCCTCTTGTGATAAATTATAAAAACTCATTATCCAATTTAGCCAAATCCTATTGAACTTGTACATAGCATAATATTCATTTAAACTTTAAGGTCGTTTCTGATTTTGACCATACTATCTCAGATTCTATAGCAGGAAATGAATGCACATACTTGTTTAACTATAGCTGTATGTTTTCCATGTGTTCAGATGCATATGCATTAGTAATTTATATTTTAATAATCCAGCTTTCAAAGGATATTTTGCTGAAAAAGAGAGGGCCAGGGATTTAGCTCACTGGCACTGCACCTACCTTGCAAGCATAAGGTCCTGAGTTCTCTTCCCAGTACCCCCCCAAAAAAGAAAAAAATATATATATTTGTCTTATTAAATTACTCATGAGTGGGAATTTTTTTTTTGCCACCGATTAAACAAATAATTTACCAGTGGCATCTAAAGGTTAAGCACAACATTGTGTGCAAATGCCTCCTGTATTTACTGCATTGTGTACCAAGGACATTTGAGTATTGAGACAGGAAAATATCCATGACCGAGATGAGCACTGTGTGTCACTTTCCATCTCGCTTATAATAATTTCATAACCTTTGATGACTAAACTAAAGCCAATTAGTTATTTCCACTCTTGCAAGTTTAAGACCATATGTGTGTGTGTGTGTGTGTGTGTGTGTGTGTGTGTGTGTTTCTCATCATCAGCATCTGAAAATGGATACTGAGGCTGCCAGGCAGTGGTTTAAGAAATGTCTTAATCAGTGATTTTCAAATGCAGCATCATCCTCTTGGGGAACTATTTACTGTGAAGGGCGAACAGTCAGAAATATTTGTGCAAGGAAGTGGACTTTCTCATGTAATCCAGTGGACATGTATTCACATTTCTGAGTCATTTTACGGACCTCACGGGATGTCATAGTAGGACTGTCCCGTCTTCCATTTTTAATAAAATAATTTTCTACTATTTGTACCAGAAAATGAGTCTCAAATTGAGCTGCCTAAGAGACCCACTGAGGAATTTAAAAATAAAATTCATGCTGGGTGCTGTGAGACATAACCTGTGGGCCCAGTACTTGGGAGGCTGAGGCAAGAGGATCACCATGAATTTGAGACCAGCCTGTGCTACGTAATGAGACCCTGTTGCAAAAAATAAAAGACAAAACAAAACAAAAATATCCATAGATTTACTCTGTCCCTGGGGCTCATGATTCAACTGGTCTGTGATGGGACCCGAACAACAATATTTTTTTAAATTCCTCTAATAATATTAATATATAACTCGATTTGAATACCATTGATATAGAACATAAATTGTAATTTATCTGTGTTAAACATATAAACTCAAATTTATAATATTAAAATATAATCAAATAGCATACTTTAATATTTTTTTTTCATCACTGGGAATTGAACTCAGGCCTTTACACTGAGCTTCATTTATAGCCCCTTACCCCTTTTTCATTTTTTATTTTGAGACAGGTTCTCACTTAGTCACTGAGTCATCCAAGCTTGGCTTGAACTGGCCATCCTCCTGCCTCAGCCTCCTAAAGTACTGGAACTACAGAAGTGGGCTACCACACCCAGCTTATAATGGTCTTTTTAATTAAGTTCATTCATTCAACAAATATTTATCTACCACCTAGTCTTCTCTCGATCTTTAGATTGTGCAGTGTTTAGTTTGCTTTCTGTGAACACAATACTGAAATTAATCGTCACAAGAAACACAGGAGCTGAATTTATTACCCTGGGCTTCTGTCATAACTTCATCTAAATACCATAAGACTTTCTTCACTTCCGCTTTTTTTTTTTTTTTTTTTTTTTTTTTTTTTTTTTTGCTGTTTTTGTTCTGGGGATCAAACTGAGGACCTTGCATTTACAAGGCAGCCATGGTGCCACTGAGCTAAATTCCCAGCCCTCTTCCTTGTCTTTTAACTAAGATTCCACCCAAGAAAATCTATTTAGTCATTTCATGGATTTTAAATGTATTTTTTGCTTAATTTTATGTCTGATTGAGAAGCATGTATGAGTTTTGAGTTCTCTGTCTTAAATGACTTGCTCCTGTGCAGCAGGCAAGCAGGTAGATGAGGCTCACAGTGTTGTGTGCAGCTCTAAGAGTGTGGAGCAGCAGATGGTCAGAGATGAATTGATTGGGGGAAAGGTAGTGCTCAAGTGGTGTTTCTCCAAGGCTGATGAAGCTAGAGAGGAAATGAGTTTAGAAAAAGAATATGTGGAACAACTTGAGGTGTTCTAGAGTGCGACCTGTCTGTGGTGATACAAACCATCCCACGTGGGTGTAGTGTGGAGTTAGAAGTAGGACCTCCTACTGTCTCTCTTTGCTGTATCACAAGTTTTGTGTTGAAGAAAATGGAAAGCCACCAAAAGGTATATGCAATATCCCGTTATCATTTAGTTCTCCTAACTCACATATTATACATGTATATATTCATAACGATGGTGTTTAATGTGATCCTCGCTCGAATTTCCTTTTGTAAATATACTCTTAAGTTCTCTACTGCTTTAGAAAGGAAAGAATTTGTGGAAGGGCCGTGATAACCTTTCAAGCAAGTCTTTACTGCTCTTGTAGCAAAGCTTACAAATTTAAACCACTTCTTTATTATACTTTAGTTCTTTAGGTGAAGATTTTAATCTATGGCAAAGAATTAGTCTTTTAAAGTCCCCATAAGTACTGAATGATGTACTTAATTCATTTTCCAAGCAGAAACTATAGAAACATGAATTTGAGACTCAGTAGTTTTTCAGTGATATATATTTAAACTCAAGAGATTTGGATGTTTATATTTTTATTTTGTACATGTGTTTTTTTTCCTACTGAAATTGGCAAAAATGATCCATATGCATTAAACTGAAGATCCTTGCAGTTAGGTTCCAGTGTCCTGCCCAGTATACAAAGCAGGACTGAGAAAAAATACACTGAGAGACAGAGCTAAGAGAGAGAAAGTGGGGCGTAAGGATGACCAATGCCAATGCAACTGACAAAGGTGCTGGTCAGTCCCAGGCACTGACCTTTATTGGCAATCAGCTGGGATGAAGGCAAGCCACACTAGCTTCTATGGAAATTATTGTAAACAAGGCTCGTAAAAGACAACACAAAGCACTCTCGAGTTGGAAACAGTGGGCAGAATATATGGCTGTAATTAGAACATTGTCCTTTTAGTGAGAAGGTTTTAGTTGTGGGAATGCAGTTTGGGTGCAAGTTACTCTGACCTTGGCACATAGGCTTCAGCCAGACATGCTTCCCAAAACAAGCCAATTGTGGGGTTAACGCTCTACAGCCTGCTGTTGGCATGACCAGTATTACAGTCCCCTCCCTGCACATTATGTACTGTGTGGTGTTTTGACATGCAAGTACATTGTGGAATGACCAAATCACACTAGTTAATATATATATCCACCCCCTCATGTACTGGTGTGTGTGTGTGTGTGTGTGTGTGTGTGCGGTGAGAACACTGAAAGTCTACTTTCAACAATTTTCAAGTATGTAATGTCTCATTATTGTTATAGTCACCACATGATACAGGGGTCTCTTGAGCTTAATCCTCCTGCCTAAGGGAACTTCTGTAACCTCTGAGTACTACCCTCTCCTCAGTCCTCCTCTGGCCCCCTCAGTCCCTGGTGTCCACCCTTCTCTCTTCTATGAGTTGGACTTTTTGGCTTCTGTATATTAATGAGGTAGTGTAGTGCTTGTCTTTCTGTGCCTGTCTTATTTCTCCTTTTTAAAAACTCATAGTGGTATCTGGAGATTAGCATGACTGGCATGAAGTGGGCCCTCACTGTGTTTCATGAGTGGATGAGTGAATAAAAAGTGCAGAGGTATTTCATGTTGAAATGAATTTAACTGTAGATTGCAATAAAATAAGCTATGCCGGGTCATACTTATTGATTACTAACATATGTCAATACTGTTATTAGAGCTGGAGTATACTATTTCATTAATTTTCAAAACTACTTTATGAAGTATTACTCTTTTTCTTTCTCTGTGATACTGGGGATCAAACCCTTAGCCTTTACACTGAACTACATCCCTATGCCAGTTTTAAAATTTTTAATTTTGAGATAAAGTCTCACTAAGTTGGTAAGTTAGGTAAGTCCTAATGGCTGATATGTAATGAAGCTAGAATTTGAATCAGACACCAGACGAGTTACTTGTCTGTAAAACCCTGGTCTCCTAACACTGCACATCAGGAATGAAGGCAGTTGATAAAGGTGATCAATTTCCTCCTGTTGACCCTCTAATCCAAGTAGAGAGGCGTTGCATTTTCTGTCCATGTAATTTATTTGGCTCATATTGATTACAGCTTCTTTTGCTGTGCTTTTAATAAATTGCATATATTCATTGCTTCTTTTTAAAGCTCTCCTGGAAAAATCACTTAGTTCATCTTAGGGAAGACTTGAAAATGATCGTCTGCTTACTCAATGTGACTAATTATCAATGCCGTTATTAAAGAATATATTTTTCAAATGGGAACTCAAGGTAATGAGCCTCTTCTTGTACAACTTTACTCTAATCAAGAATCATTTATCTCCAGGAAAAACAAATGAGTTTTCATGAGAGCGAAAGTTTCCAAAATATACCTGAGGGTAAGATAGGCTGGTCAGGGCCTGAGAGTTTGCTGCCTCTATTTTTGTGGCCACCGCATAACCCCTTTAATCCTTTGCTTGATTTTGTTTTTAATTGAGTGTTAATTATTTTGTCTTTCCAGACTATCACTGAAAAACACAAGCTAAATGTTCCCGAGACAATGACTGAGGTTCTTGATGTTTCTGATGAAGAGGGTAAGGTTGATTCAGTCTTCTGTGACGTCCGTGTTGTCACTGCACAAGAGCAAACCATCCTTATTCTCAGGACCAAGTTGCTGCTGTGTATGACAGCACCTCAATTTTTAAAGTCCATTTGTTACTTTTGTTTCAATATATTTACTTTTGCCATTGTTTGGGGTAGCCTCTGATCCTTCTACTTTCTCCTGTTATCTTTAATGTTTCTTAAGTAACAGGACTGGGAAAGGGGGGAAGAAACCAGGAAAGGGCCAAATGCTAAAGATTTACTTGGTGATAAAATTATTTTTTAATATATGTTTTTATTATGTCCAGCAAAGTTTGTTTTTGGTGCTGGGATAAAATCCAGTGCTTAAAGCACACTGAGAAAATGCTCTACCACTCTGGGAAAAATGCTCTATAACTGAGCTATATCACTAGCTTTTAAAATATTTTTTATTCAAATGCCTTTAAGGCATTAAAATTTTCTTTATTAAAGAAATTTTAAGAAATCTCTGTTTTCTGATTATTTCTAATGTACAGAATGCATAGTAAGTGCAGAGGAAACAAGCCTTGTAGAAAGCTTTAAAAATAGCACAGTAACAAATAGTACAGGTTCAGTAGATGGAGTATGATAAAAAAGAGTGAATATTATAAATTAAAAAAAAATTCATTACAGCAAAAGACACATTGCCATTAATCCCTCTCAGAATATTTCCCCTCACTTGAAACACACTTATTCCATCATCGTGGCCACTTTCTGGAGCATTTCTGGATGTCCTTTTGTGACTGTTTTTAGCGGCACTGTTGGCTGCCTCAGTGTCCTAAATTAATTCAAATCATTTACTTTCATGCTCATTTTGGGAGGAAGAGCCAGAAGCTGCATGCCAAGCCTGGCAAGCAAGGTGGATGAGAACACATGGTAATAGTTTGTGAACCTGGCTTTTCCGTGGATGGCATGCAGCAGCAGTAGTGACTGAACATTTGATAGCTTTACATAAGACACTCATGAAAGAGGACTTCCAGAACCGCTCCAGAGCGTGCAGAGAGTCATGGGACAAACTGGTTCAAGGTGAGGAGTACTGAGGATGATTAGTGACAATGTGTCTTTCAAACTGAGCTACCTGGGCCCAGGCATGAAGCATCACACGAGAGCTAGAGATCAGGCCTTCTACTTCAACCAGAGTAGTTCAGTTTTATTTCTTTTGTATTTTGATTTCTATGTAATATTTCACTTGCATAAAGAAATCTGTTACTAAAATAATGTGAAAGCAGTGTTTAAGTAACTAAGTTTCTATAGTATAGCTGTTACTCAAATGCACACAATTAAAATTATTGCCATATATATGTATGGAAAATGTGTATGTTTGAAAAATTTTTGGCATAAAAGATGTTACTAGGCCTAATCCTAATTGCTTTTATGGAGAAATAATAAAGGTAGTTGTTTTATGCTCTTTAACATATAATCCTAATATAAACCCTTACATCGAGATATCCTTATTTGGAACCAATTTGTTAAATCACTTATTGATAATAGGATTGAGTTGTCTCAGCTTGTGTAAGAGTTTATGATATGAGTAAAAAATGTTAGAACAATGTGTTATTATGAGTAAATGAAAAAGAATTTCCAAAGTCAGCAGTTCCAACTATATATTACAATTTTGAGTTCTGTCCTAGTATTTGCCAACTAATGTTCAGCATCCATGGACACACACCATATTTTATTTTGTGGAACCATCTTTTTCATCTTCATTTGTATGTTGAACAGCTTTTAAACAGTTTGGTGACCACTTTATTGATGGGGAAGTACTTAGTGATTCAGGTACTTTTAGAGGAACTTGTTGGAGTGAAAGCTTTTGTTTGCTTTTATATGTTTTTACCTGCATAGAAACAGCTTGCTTAGTATTTAAATCTATGTGCCTGATACTAATGTGTCTTCTGAAATTGCATGTGTAATATGAATAGGATTGTATATGTATACATTTGTGAACATATCAATCTGGAAGTTTAAATCCATAAATTGTTTATGTTAATGATTTTGCAGCTATAATTAAGACTTATTGACATAATTAGTTTATCAGATGAACATAGTATCAGAATTTTCCCCAATCTAATATCTTTCTATAGAATACAAATTTAGAGAAAAAATTAGTCTGTGCTAAGTTGACACTGAACTAGTATGGGCATGTTAATAACTCAGTTGTCAGTTACTAACTAAGCTACTAAGTCTGCCTCAGCTCATATTGTCCTTCTTTGATGAAGACAGCGTTTAGATGTCATAAAAAATCTATTAAGTTAGAATTTGGCATTGTGATACATGTTTGTAGTTTAAGAGACCTTGTCTCTTAGATATACACACATATGCACCCACGCTCATACTAGATAAATAGATTATACATATGTGTGTACACACACACACACACACACACATATATATATATGTATATATATATTTGGTATAATGTGATTTTTAAAGATAGGAAAAGTAAATTAACCTTTAAAACTATTTAGGGTAAATTTGACATTTTGGAGAAAAATGAGTATTATAAGGGTTATTGTAATGAGTATTATAAAAATAAGCATTGTATTATTCTATATAGCAAGAAGTTTCCAAAGTACATATAGTACCACTTTAAGGTAAATGTATTACATTAAAATCTAAATTTAATGCGGGGTGTGGTGGTGCACACCTGTAATCCCAGCACTCGGGAGGCTGAGGCAGGAGGATCAGTGAGAGTTCGAGACCAGCCTGGGCTACACAGTGAGTTCCAGGTCAGTCTCAACTACATAGTGAGACCCTGTCTCAAAAAACCAAAAAAGTAAATGGGGAGGGGTGGAGGGGGTGAAGGGAGGGCAGGGACAAGGAGAAAAAATGAGAACCAAGACCTGTCATGTAAAGCTACAAGATCCCAATAATGAATGTAACTGTACTGTATACCTAAAATGTACCAGTAAACTCAATAAAAAGAAAAAAAAAGACCCAAAAAAATCTAAATTTATAAATCAGATAAATTAGGGTTTATGTAACTTAAAAATAGCTTTTTATTTACAAAATAATGGTTAAGGAATTCAGTTAGCTAATGCATTTAATGCATTTATTATTGGATTTATAGAAATTCCATTAATATAAAACGGCCTCTCAGACCTTCTTATTGCATAAAGTGAGATCTGGTTATAACATTATATAATCTCAAATTGAAATTATTGCACGTTAAAAAAATTACTAGTGATAAGAGCAGTAGATCAGGGTGGAATACTGACTAGTGATCAAGAATGTCTCTTCTGGTAAGAGAAATCTGACATTTTTAGAAATAGCCCAAACTTCATAACATTTTATTCCTAGCAATCAATTCAAGTTGAATAGTTTTTATATAAGGGATATTTTGAGTTGTGCAAAGTAACTTTTTCATGCAAAGAATTAGCACATTGCCATCCCTGTAATATTTAGTTCAGTCAAAATGCTTTCATGGAACCTGCCATCATTGTGTGAATACTATATAGCCACTGTGTTTGGAAGGCATTAGCCAGTTGTTTTTTCTACACCATCTACTTTTTTTGTTTTGTTTTTGTTTTGTTTTGTTTTGTTTTTTTTTGGTATCAGGGATTGAACTCGGGACCATGTGCTTGTGAGGCAGGCCGTGGCACCACTAAGCTAAATGCCTGACCCTAAACCTTCTACTGTTTTAACCAATGTGTTGAGATGCAAGAGTATTCCAGTCAAATATGAATGTTTTCTCAGGCTAACTGGGTATGCATTAAAGCTGTCAGTATTATCTTGCCATGAAGCCAATCAACAGTTAATCTATATGACATTATTATGTAGAAAGTTCTATAAACGATAATATGGGGGATGCCTTTGAGAAGCATAGATGGGGTGAAAATGTATAAAATATTATTCTTGGGCACCATGTCATCAGTTCTTTGTATCTACTTGGCGATGTCAGGAGATAAGAACCTGGTAGTGTCTCATGGTCTTGCTGAGAGATGGGACATTAATAACAGGATGACCCAGGAAGGATAAAGGACAGTATGAAGATCCCAAGATAGGAAAATACAAGAGTGACACAAAGTGGCAAAATAATCCAGTTGTTTGGTTTGATGTGTAAAAACATGTAGCATTCCAGTGTGAACTGTTTGAATTCTTAACTGAATAGTCTGGGGGTATTCAGCACACCTTAAGATTTCAATTACTAATTGAAGCAATTAAAGCTTCTTTTACAAACAGTAATCCAGCAGTGGTGCACGGAAAGAATGCATGGGGAAGAAAGTGGAGGGAAGCAGATATCTAAAGTAAGAGAAGACATTTACTGAATGTCTGCAGTGTCAGGTGCATTGTCTCATTTAATGCCCAGAGTGTGCCTGTGACAGCCACCGCGGACCCACTGCCTGATTTTCTCCCAAGAGGACCCGGTTTTCTAAGGGAAATTCAGGTGCAGCAGTTTAACAGATAATTCAAAGATGAATATGGAGCTTGGAGAAAGGTCTGCAGTGGCCGCAGATTTCTATATAGATAGTATCGAAGGAGTCCCAGAGTCTTAAGAATGAATGATAATATGGGACGCTGGAAGAATGGTCAGATGGAAATACCAACATACAAGGGGTGTGAAGGCTGAGAAGAAAGACTCAAAGAGGTAGGGGTATGTCAGAAGAATTAAAGAGGCTTATTTTTTCAAAGAAGAAAAAATCACTTTTTGCCCCCTGATTAATTATTAAAATTAGCAAATATCTTTGACAGATGAAAAGGCATCAGGATGTGGAATAAAGAAGGTCTAATCATTAGGGGAAGAAATTACTGTCTTTCAAAGTAAGGGTGATCTTTCACCTGTGGAAAGGGAAGGACTCCAGAGTCTTTCAGAGGGGAGGGAACGGTGCAGACCAAGACCTGATGTATAGTTATCTGAGAGAGACTGCAGGATGAGGAGCTAGTGGCAGGGATGGACTGGCAGAAATTTCCTTACCTTCAAAGGAGTTAAAATCAATAATGTCTTATTTGCGGGCACACATTAAAGACTTGTAAAGCTTTGAGTTGTCTGAAGAGTTTCCTAGTGGTGGGCCAACTTGGGTAAATGTCTTCTCAAACATTTTTTTCAACATTGTACTCATTTCTGTAGATTCTACTCTCCATCTCTCATTGCTGATTTTTAAATACTGAATAATATACCTTATACATAAACATCTTGGAGAGAAATTTTGTAGGACACCAGTTCCCAGACAGATGCCACTCCAGCTAGTGACAGTATTAGATTAGACACCAGTACCGGCCCTAGGAATTTTACTTCTTTGGGACATTTCTGAGACTTATCAAGCCATCCTGATGTATACCTAAAGACCACCATACTTGTCTCTAAAACTCTGAAGCCTCACTTTTAATAACAGGTCTGTTATGCAGAAAGCATTATAACAAAACCATCAAAATGCAAGGAATGAGAGAGAATGCAAAGGTCATCCACTGTCTTGTGAACTCAGTATAATCAGAGGTTTTAAAATTATGCCTTGACTTTCACCAGAGTGACAAAACTTGATATAGTTGAATAAAAATGTACTTTATAAAGTGACTTCCTTTCTTTCATCAAGATTTTTATGCTCGTAAAACAAAGGTCCAGGATCATGTGGTTTGCTTGCATGTTCTGCGAGATACAACTACAAGCTTTGTTGCTTCAGAAGGGAGCTCTTCTTTCTATTCTCTTCCTCTCTCCTCTTTTCTTTCCTTAATCCTTATAAGCTTTCTGCTTCCTACTGAGAAGAGATGTCCAGAGGAAAAGATGAGTGGAATAAGAAACTGTGAACTGCAGTCACTATTGTATTAAAGAGCTTTGAGGAATTTTGAAGAACTGATATACAAAAGCTTATTTGAGTTGCCTTGGTTCCCTGTGACCACCCTGGCCACTAATAGATTGCAGTAAGAACTGGTAGATTAGGTGAATCAAATGGAAATGTGAAAACAAATTGACACAGAGGAGGGACACTGTACTTTGGGCAGTATTGGAAATTGGTGTCAGAAATCAAAGCTGAAACTATATTAGATTTATGGGGTGGGATAGCAGTTTGAGGGAAGGAGAAAGAGAATGAAAAAACAAGAGCAGACAAGGGCACGTTTGGTTTTTAAATAATCTTTTTAGTTTCCTGCTCAAGAGATCCATAACACAGTCTGTATTACATGACAGATTCTGCGTTCATCCATATCCAATACTCTTTCAAAAGTAGGCATAGGCTTAATCTTCCGAAATGATGGTAAAACTCTCTGAAAATAATACAGGCTTATTCCCAAACCAAACAACTGTGGGCTAGTGTAGCTGCTGTTGGAATTCATCTTGGAATTTTTTTTTACTTCATCCTAGTGATCTTTCTTTAATGTGTACATTCGATTGATCTTATAAAATATTGTAATTTCATTTAAAATACCTCATATTTGTCTTAGACTTCAGCATATTGCCTCTTGTATGAAGAGATTAATAATGTATAAAACTGTTGAAGCTACTCAGGGAAGTCATGAGTAGCCTACATATTGGAGTAATTATTAAATTAAACAATATGAGCTGTTAACCATCAGGATAAAAATACAATGAATAAAGTAATTAACAATTGCTAAAAGAGAAACAATTCAGGTGATGATTTCTTTTGTTGTGTATAGAAGATGGACACAGTTTGGTCTAAGTTCTAGCGCTCTGCAGACATCTGTGTGTCCTGTGTCTCCTGGTGTGCTGTGTTTCACTGACAACAAGGCTGCTTGCTAATGCATTTCACAATTGAAATATATTTTGTAGCTGATGCTGCGTTCTGCAGATAACATTTTCCATCTTCTGATTGTTTCAAGGGGACGACACGATGACTGGTGATGGAGGAGAATACCTGAGACCCGAGGATCTCAAGGAACTGGGCGATGACTCCCTGCCCAGCAGCCAGTTCCTGGATGGCATGAATTACCTGCGTTATAGCTTGGAGGGAGGACGGAGTGACAGGTATTCATGGAAAACTTATACTCTGTGTCTGCCAGAACTATATGCAATACATTTTTATGATTGTTAGAAAAAGAAGACACAATTATTGAGCCCTTGACCAGCACCTCACCACTCTTAGCAGTTAGCATGTTATCTTACTTAACATCTAACAACTTTCAGAAATGCCCACTTTCTAGAAGAGGAAACAGAGCCTAGAGAGATTAAACAACCTAGCAAAATCAAACAAATACTCAGAAATAGGTATATGATAAATAAGAGGTCTCTACCTTGTATGATGTGTATGATTGTCCTTTTTTTCTCTAGGTAAATTCAAAGGGCTGTTTTGCCTTATTCATGTGTTTACCAAGCGATATCTGTGACACTTTTATTAGTTCCCTTTTTTATTAGTACCATAATTTCTATGAACAAAGGTATGTTATGAAGAGTATTTAAAATCAAACAAGTTTAAAAGAAAACTCTGCCTGTAATTGGCTTTTCATTTAAAAAATAAAAGTATAAAAAAGCATTGATACAAGAAGTAATCTGGGCAGAATGTAGATGACCCCTGTTCGTAGCGATCTGGGGAGGCTGATGTAATGTGCTAAAGCATCAGTTTAGGCCAGGTATATGCCTGTCCAGGCAGTGGATTGTCTGTTGCTATTCAGGATTCTCATATGTATAGTTTTAAAATTGGCTCTATTGTAAACTACTATACAAAACGTATCCAGCATATTTATAATCTAAGAAATAAATACTTTAAAGTCATCAATTTTAAATGGATAATTGATATTTTAAAAAACAAGCTTTTCTTAGGTTTTTCCCTTGAGCACCAATTGTGCTCTTTTTAAAAACAATCCAATATGGATATAGTAAGTTCATTTTGTGCCAAGCTTTTTTTGTGGTAAGTACAGGCGACACCAGCATGACTCAAATTAGCTTACTAACTTCATAGCCTAGGAGAGTGGCCACAGAGTGGCCACAGGGTGATACTGGACCCTGAGGCTAGAGCTTCCAGGAGGAGAGGAGGCCAGACCTAGACTGAATGATAAGTAATGATGGCCAGGGAAGGTGGGGAGGACATGAACAAAGGCTCACAGTATGTGCGAGAAGCTGAGAAGGCCCAGAGATGCTGGAGGGTACCTGCAAAGGAGGACAAATCATATTTGCATGGGGGACTCCCACTCCCAGCCAATGGATGAGCTTTAGAGGAGAGCTGATAAGGGCTAGAGCTTGTAGCAGTGACCGCCTGAGAGGCTGTTGTAGTGGTTTTAGCTGCAGTTGTTATCAGAGGGCTAGAACCTTAGTGGCAGTTGAGGAGAGAAATTCATCAATGAAAAATTTAAGACGTGTAGGAGATGCAGTGAGCCACATTTGGTGATATTTTTTATGGGGTGGTTGAAAAGGAAGGAGGTTAAATTGACTCCTTGGTCTCAGTGGCTTAAGGGTGGTCCTTGGAATCAGGATTCAGATGGTGGAGCCCCTCTGAGATGGTAGGACCACCGTTCCATGTGTCGAGTTCTGATTCACTCATGAATTTTGACCTTATAACCTGAAATACTTAAAAGGCTTCAAGTTTCAATGAAAGGAAAGGTTTCTAGCTTTGCATGAGTTCATAATAATCTGCAAATAGGCATGTTACTGCCAGTGTGGTCTCTTTTATTAAGAAAAAATTACCTGATTCAGCCCTTTTGCCTTCTTTTAAAGTATTCAGTTGAGAGACTTAGAGTGTGCTTTCTGTAAAACAAGAGTAGATACTTGAATTCTACTTAAGGTGAACCTCATCAGCATTTAAATAAAGGGAACAAGAAACGAACGAGGCATGGCTGGTTCTCTGTTCCATGTGTGTGTTTCTAGAGCACCAGATGTATACACGACCTTCAAAATGCAACTACAGACTGCATCTCCTTTTCATGATTTTTTTTGTTTTATTTTTTAATTTTGCATATGCAATTCAATATAAGCCCCTCTTTTGGTAACCATTTTTCTTTTTGTTATTTATTTGGTATGCTCTCAGTAGTACCATGCCCAGGTAGGTATTACATAGCATGAAAATATGGCCTTCCTGGATACACCCACATTTTCCTGCTCACTGCTCAGTGTGTCTGTGTCTGTGTATGTTGGCAGGAGGTGCTTATATTTCTAGAATTATGGATTTATTCTCAGATTAGATTCTTTTCATTAAATTGAATAACCATTTGAGAGAAAAGAGGTGAATCTGTCGTTACTAGAATGAAAATCGGCTATATGAGCAGACCCGACTTTAACTGTCACAGCTCCACCCTGTGGTTGACAAAATAGGAGCCTAGCTTCCCTCACCCTGACCAGCCCATGGGTAGTTGGAAAAGATAGAGGAGAAAGGTTCTGATGCCTTAAATGTATGTAGATGCAGAAGAATAAAATACAGACAGTGTATTGTCTCTTTAACAAAAGCACAACCAACTTGTCAGTTGAATTTTGTGTCCATTTTATTATTGCTTACAAACTTAAAATGCTATCAAAATTCAGTATAAAATATCAAATAACAAACTGCAGAAACTTCTACATATATTAACACTAACACATTGCAATTTTTGGGTATTCATTTGTTCAAGAGAGTTTGAAACTCCATATATAAATGCTGCAATTACTAAAATAGTAATTATAATTTTCAATGAACTTATACTTTCATACTATCTAATGTAGTTCATAAAGCAACTTTCCCATAATATAACAAGTATAAACTGAGTACATAACAAAGTAGTTGTCACCTAGAGCTGAGAATCCCCTAGCTTAACAAGTAAATATTGACACTTCTATGGAGATGTTGTTATAAATGTACTGAAAGATCAAATGCCCTCTGACTTAATGAAAAAGTGGCAATCCTGTCACAAAATGTTTACATTTTCTAATTGCTTTTTTTTCTGTGATGCTATAGAATCTACTTGAATGAAATAGTATGGTTACACTATTCTGACACAGGAGACATTATTCTTCCTGAGAAAATAATAACCAGCACAAAGGCCTGGAATAATTCAAGACCCTTAATCAGAAATTGGCCTCCCCAATTTAAAATATGTTAGAAAATATGAACATTTATTAAATAACCAGATAGCATTTTGGGATGCAGTAAATAGTTACCCAAAGTAAAATCTATAAAGATACTTACACATATATTTCTGACTTACTCATTTTCCCCACTATCTCTGTCCGGTTTTTAATTACTCTGTGTCTACATAACCTACTATCGTTCCTTCTATGCCCTAGTCTCTATATTCCTGTTGGAGTTTTAAGAAGGACAAAAATATAACACCAGTATCTCTCTACCCCTCCCAGTTCAAAACCAAAACCAGGAAACAGGTAGATAAATCTCAAAAACCATGCTTTGCCGTTGACACTAATTGTAGGATGCTGCTGTACATTCATACCCCAGTGGGCTCTTTTATACTGCATTCCGGGAGCAGCAGACCTGTCCACCCAGTCACTGTTACTCCTTCAGAGTGGCAAATAAGACCTAGTGCCTTCTTTCAAAGTTTAAGCATTTACAGTGCTAGCAACCACACCACTAGGTTTATTGGGGTCCCTTCATTTACTATTCTTCATTTACTGCTTTATGCACTGTATTAGATAGTATGAAAGTGTAAGTTCATTGAAAATTATAATTACTATTTACTTGTTCCCATTCCAGATAAATTTTCATTTACTCTTTGAGACCAGTGTTTCTGCTAATCTAGTACTGCATGTGACCATCAAGTCTTCCTTATGACCAAGCTTCCACTTCTTAAAAAGAGGCTTTCTGCTTTTTCTGTATCGTTAATGTATATACATCAAGCACCTTTAAATGTGTAAAGCATAGTCTCAATCTTTGAGTTCTAAAGTTGTGGATAGATATTATGTAATTAAAAACCCAAGCTCAACAGAAACTATTAGACTGGGGAAGATGATTGCACTTATGGACAAGCCATACCACTTCAAGGGTTGGCCCCTCTACTACTTTCCCTTCCGTGGCCAAATTCAAGACAAAAGAAAAGAAAAAAAAAACACTGGAGCATTTTATCTTGTGCTGCCTGGTACAAACATAGCCAACTAAATCCTTGCTATCTAAAGAAGGAAAAAAAAAGATGCATTCTACCAATTGAGATAAGTTTTTGATGAGATTAAAGACCCTTTTCCTAAGAATTTAACCTCTGTCCCCAGCCTCAGATTCAAAATGAAGCAATATTGATTGCTATAGGCTGCAGCCTTTTGAAGAAATACACTGCAGAAGGCAGCTGCATAACTAGAGAAACAGCTGTGACGTAAGCTGTCTGCATTGCTGGGGCCCTTACCTGTGTTGAGGAGTTCACTAAGGTGAGGATGGTGAACTTCCTAGAGACTGAGCGCCGATCTGCAGCCCAAAACCCATTCATTTAATTTAAAATGCCAAAGCTGCAATCAAGCCTGAATACTGAGGTTTTAGTTTAGAAAAAACAACTCATACATTAACATTTTTATCTTAAAATAAAAACAGAATAGACGCATGCCAGGGATTCACCACCACTGCACTAAAGCATCCAGGCTGCCTCTGCCCAGGCTGAGGCAGGACTGAATTCCCAAATTACATTAAGATTTCCTTTTATCATAAGCACAGAGACTTACAGAAGTATAAGTACCAAGGGTCACATAATCAGTTCCCTCGATTCATGTCATTTGCTCTCTAAGATTAAGATTCCTAGAGATCTACATGCAAAATAGGAGACAGAAGGCCTTGAGTTACTAGGAATAATCTCCAAAGCGATGATTTTCTTAAGGACAATTGGAATTGGCTGTGATGCCTTATAACGTTGATAGTAAGATTAGCTGTATTTGCAAAATTAAAATAGTACTTACCAGTAAACTTGCTATTTAATCCATAATTCTGTAGGGCTTCACTGGCCAAATATCTACCAGCTAAAAGCAAATGAAAGTGCTTCTATCACTATTATGAAAAATTGCATATCTCCCTCCCTCAGAGGGCTTTAGACTAATTTTTTTTTTTTTTTGTACCGGGGATCGAACTTGGGTCCTTGTACTTACAAGGCAGGCGGCAGAACCACTGAGCTTAATCCCCAGCCCTAGGCTAATATTTTGAATGCAGATCTTTAAATCTTGAAGATATGTATGTATGTATGTGTGTGTGTGTGTGTGTGTGTGTGTGTGTGTGTATAATATAAAATAAGCCTTTTCAGTCTCTTTCTCATTTGTACAAAGCGATTGAAAGAAATGAAATTGCATTATGCAAAGATCAAGTTTTATCCATTACATAAGAGTATGCAATTCAGAACTTTGAAATTCAGATTTATGAAAAATGTTAAACACTTGCTAGGAAACCCTATTTTGAAGGGAATCCCCCATGTTGGTCAGTGCCCATTGGCAGTTGGTCTTTGTGCTGGCAACTGTGGCTGTGTGCAGGTTGGTGTTTAGAAACCATTTCTTGTGAGGTCGCATCTCATCACCACAGCAACCAGCACTCTAGTGCTTCACTCAGCACACACAGGACGTGTAAAGGGGGACAGTGTCCTCCTTTGAAACAATATCATTGTCAGAGTCAAACCAGAAACAAACAAGAGGAACTTCCCTTCCGCAGGAAGCACGCCTCTGGCCCCCATCCATCCGAAGCTGTACCTTCCAAGTGAGCGCCCCAGCACTGAGTCATTCACCATCCAGAGAGGAAGAGAAAAAGGCAGGAGAGACAATGGAAAATAATGAGGGAAAAGGAAACCTGCACTTTCATTTTGTGCTTCTCTTTGAGAACTGTCTCTTTTCCCACTGGTATTTTTCTTAGTTGCCTAGAGATTAACACTGAACCCAGACTTAAGCCATCGATCCTGGAATTATTTCCTATGTGAATTTCTTATCCTGGCAGTAAGTAAATGGCGCTTGCTGCTTGCACACATTTCTGGGAAGAAAATGAATCAGATTAGGAGTATCGCATTTTAACTCCTGGATTCCCTTGTGCCCTGGCCATTGAGTGGCAGGAACCATTCAAAAGAGGTGTGAGCTCAGCTGCTGGACAGGGAGGTAGGGCAGCAGGATCCCTGTGTCCCCTGGAAGTTGCATGGTTCGCTAATGGCACGCTTTTCTCACTCCCTGCTCTGCTCATCCTTCACCCTTCCAACCTTCCCCTGCTGTTGGTATATGGCCATGGCCTCCTGCCACCCTACCAGCCTCCGGTCCTTCAGTTCTGACAGGTCTCACACCCTGAGCCATGCGTCCTACCTGAGAGACAGTGCCGTGATGGACGATGCCATTGTCATCCCCAGTCACCAGGTATGTACCTTCTTGCCTTTCAGCTTCTCCTACATTTCCTATGTGGAAAATGTCCTGAGATAAAGAAATCCGAGATTGGAAGGTTTCCTAAAACATGAAAAATGTTCACTAGGTTTTTCAGTGAGAACTATTTCTGAAATAATACAGTGCTTCTTTTTATCCAGTTGTACTAAATTTGGTGGAGATTTTATATAAGGATTTGTGTTGTTAAAGTAAATTTCTATTAAAGGAAAAAGAAGATGCATTTATGGTATAAAATGATGGTACAGGTTAAAATGTATCCTTCAATATTTAAAATTATTAGTTATTAAAAAGGCTTAAAAGATATTCTGGAATGTTTTTAATTTAGGTATGATTTTTAAAATTACTTTTGATAGGTTGGATATAAGGAACTAGGCAGATACCAACGCTCTTCAAATGCAATTATATTAAAATGATCTTATATTAATAATATAATTTTAACAGGAGTGCAGTCTGCTCGTGGCGATGCATGCCTGTAATCCCAGGACTCTGGGGGTCCTGGCAGGTTTGAGCATAGCCTGGGCAACTTAGTAACTTAGACTCTGTACCAAAATAAAAAATAAAAAGAGGGCTGGGGATGTAGCTTTGTGTGAAAATGAATTGGGTTGAATCCCTGGTATAGGAATTATGAAAGGAATGAATTATAAAATATTAGTTTGAAATACTTTGGTCTTATACTTCTTAAGTGAAATCTTTTCCATGAAATACCACCTTGTTGTGATGGTAGTTTTTAGATTTTATTATAGTTTACTTTACTTAAATCCAATGTTCTTTGTGTTTAGGTATCAACTCTAGCCAAGGAGGCAGAAAGAAATTCTTATCGTCTCAGCTGGGGCACTGAGAACTTGGACAACGTGGCTCTTTCTTCCAGCCCTATTCATTCAGGGTGAGTAAGTCAATATTATGTGTCCAGATCAAGAGGTACAAAGAGATGAGAGTGAAAATAACAGCTTTCTCCCGGAGCTTCAGCTGATGGCTAGCTTACAGTGGAGGTAACCTTTGATCAAACTGGTAAATAATGTTTTTTTCCAACATGGACTCTATCTACCGAAACAAAATAGCAAAAGGGTTTAATTCAGCACAGAAATTGACTATTGTTTTTAAATAACTAGCAAAAATGCATCAAAGAGCTTGCTAACTAACTGTAATCTACTGGTGGTCTCCTTAATTGTTCATTTGCCATCCTGAAAACATCTTAAAAAGAGGGGCTGAATCAGCTGCTTTCTAGAAAATTTCTATTTGCTAAGATTAACTGATTTCTTTCCATTTTAATGCATGAAAAGTAATATTTGCAGAAGTTAGAGTCAAACAAATATATAAATGAGTTTATATCCTTTTTGAAATAGGAATGTAAGTGAAAAGGGAGGTTTGAATGTGTACAGTGAGCTCCTCAGTTGGCTTTTTGGAGTCTTCCTGAAGTCATCTGGAGAACACGTACTGCCCTGTGTAAGCAACACTGCCTGTTCATTCATTCATGAAACTGCAAGAATTGGAGCCATATTTTCAGACACATTTAAAGTTGTTCTTAATGTGAGAATTCAATTATGTATAATATAAATTCCTTAAGGAGTTTTAATTGTAACATTAGTCCAGTTGTTTTTTTTCTTTACATTTTAGTAGTTTCAATAATGTAGTAACATTCAATAATATAGTAATATATATATATATATATATATATATAATCACCATATTTTTAATCTAATTACTTCTTTTAAAGCCCTACCTATATTTTATCTAACAAAATGGAATACTTTGATTGAAATTATTATTCCAAACTATCCAAATTATGGAAATATTTTGAGTAATTGACCCTTTCTTGCTTTTGTTTTTATAAAATAATTTCCTTTTAGAAAATTTTGCTGGATAATTTAAATATTTCAGATTTCTTAATCTAATCATCTACTAAATAAATGCCACAGAACAGTGGTGGCAAGCCTTCTAGACATTAGTGCCCAAACTGCAATCCAAAACCTACTTATTTATCATAAAGTGCCAACACTACAGTTATCAGGGTTTTAGTTTAGAAAAACCACTCATACATTAACATCTTTCATCTTAAAAGGAAACCAAATAACATGTATGCCATAGGTTTGCCACCCCTGCCATAGAATACATAACTTAGTTATATCGATATTGAAAATAGTCATAATATTTTTCTTGTTAAAGAAAGACAGTTTTTTTAATTCAAGAGTTGTGAAGGGAAAATTTTAAAAAATAAGCCTCATTGAAATTTACTTGCACATTTTAAGTATAAAATGAGATAATTAAAATCTCACAGTTATATATTATTAAAGAAGATAAGATTGCAATCTGCTACTAAGTTTTTCAACTGTGATAAGTAAGAAGGAAAAGAGACCTGGACCTAGAAGATTGAAGGAAAAGAGATGAGGATCTAGAACTCATATGGAAGTATTTTAAGTTCCTAGCCACCTTATAAAATGAAGAAATTATTTTAGGTTAAATATAATTGACTACTATTATTTACATTTTAAAGAGTCAATGTAGTTGGCTTTCCAAATAAATCACTTATATCTCTGGAGGGATTCTTAAAGAACTTCTTAAATTACTGAGGACAGTAAATATTCAGTTTAAGTACGTCAATGTCTATAACAATTGTACCAAACTACATAACAACTATACGTAATTATGTAATAATGGTGGCTTGCTTATAATGAACCAACAGCATCCAATGGCTAAAGATTAATCACTTAAGATAAAGATCTCTGAAAACCACAGTTGCCAACAGACTAATTTTTTCTATCAGTTTCAGTCACTTATCACTGACTCAGGAATTCTCAATGCTGGCTGTACATTAGGATTGGCTGGGAGCTATAAAATATTCTAATGTCCATGCTTTACCCCATACCAGCTATAGCTGAATCTCAGTTGTGAGGGTCCTGACATTAGTATTTTCTACATCCTGATTATATAAATTATTAGAATGGAAAAACTTTGTGCTGTAAAGCCTTGATTAGTGGAGAAACAATAATTGACATACACTGAGTTCCCTCAAAGGTCCTTTGTCTCTCCGTTCCCTTATATAGTTATTCCTTACACATCTGTGGACGTATTTGCGTCTGGTTCCAGGCATTAAACCAGTTGTTAAGGAAAATAGCCCAAATATACCTCCTACCCGTAAGGAAGGCACCTGTTATCTTGTTCTTTGGAGTTGAAAGGTGATCTGTGAAATAGAGAGAAGCCTGGTGGTTAAGAGTATGCTGTGGTATCAGGAGAATCAGAATCCAGGTTCTGATTCCGACGCACAGTGAATAACAGTGCAGCACAAGTTATGTAAAATCTCTATAGAGTTTCAGTGCAATGAGTGTTGTGCTGTTGATTCCATAGGAGAGTTCTAAACATTTGATGCCTTTAAAATAATTAGCACTGGCCTAGAAAATATAACTAGTCATTAGATTATGGCCATTAACATTTAATACACATCTTCCAACTTTTTTACAAATTGCAAATGAGTTAAGCATAATGTATTCTGAATCCTGAAATGGTAACACTAACATGACCTATACTGCTAACATTTGACTTGTTATTTTTATTAGATAATTTACCATCTATTAATGTCTCTACTATAATATTTGAATAAATACAGTGCCGCAGTTGGCTCTAAAGAGATGATTAGTTATCCATGAAAACTCAGTGATTCTGTATTGTGATATTTGAAAGTTTCCATGATGTCAAGGTGTATGAATAACTTTTATAATGTGTCATATAATGATGCATTCATGTGATTTTATGCACTGTATACCAGGTTCCTGAGTCATAGCTTTTTCAAGGAACTGATTTTTGTTTTAAGTAATTAGATGAATTCTTTTTTTTTTGTACTGGGGATTGAACTCAGGATCGTGTGCTTGCCAGGCAGGTTCAGCGTCACTGAGCTAAATCCTCGGCCCTGGCCCTGGATGAATTCTTAAGTAGCTTAACAGTCAGCCAAAAATTTAAGGAAAAATGACTTTTCAGTAAAGAGAATAATAAAGTAATGCTTTTTATTCATATGGCTCCTGTTTGTGTGCATTATGTTGTATTTAATTTAGTAAAGTTATTTTAGATTAACAAAAAATGTAGTCTTTGCCAGTAATCAGTGTTCACAGGTTTCTTTTGCTGCTACTCCATGTTTTTAAACACTAACGCTCATAAGGAGAGAAGAATGGGTCTAACTATTGCAACTCTTTAGTGCCTACTATCTAAAAGAAAGGACTATTTATGCTACTATTTGTCATTGAAGGACACTTTAAATGATCCCTTTTCATCATTAAAAAAGTATTATAAGTATGAATGAAAAGCTTTTGAGTCAAAACTGTCCATCAATTCAAAGGCTTCTTGTTTTTCATCATAAGACCCCTTGATATTTTGCAGGTTCTTGGATACTTGGACCTTTTAAAATGTCTCCACAAGCCAGTATTGAATCAGGCTACAAATCCAGGAATTTGATAACATACCCAGTTTCCTAGCCAGGAATACCTACAAAACCCCATATTTTATTCTCTCGGCATTTGCAAAGAGCTGTGCTCCATTTGTATCTTCAACCTCTTTTCCAATGAATGTTATATTGGTGTATGAATTATATATTTCAGTTGAAAGTCACTTCTGATTTCATTCTTTATATTTCACTTTATCCATTCCTTCTCTGTGCTAAAGTATCTATTCTGTTGCAGCCGCACCTCTCCATGTCTCGATCGTGACAACAGCAGGTGAAGCTCTGCATAATTCCTTCTCTGAACATGTTGCCCATCCCTCCCCTACCCCTCCACTGCCTCCTTCTGGATATACCCGCCTCAGGATGCTTTAGTGTGGAAAATACCTAGCCAAAGAGATACCGAGGTTCATGGTCTCCAAAGTGTGGACGTTGCTCAGTTTTCCTCTCCAGGAAGTGAAAGGGGGTGCATTTAATGTTGGTGGACATAAAAAAGGGGCTGTGCCAAATGAGTATGAGCTACCTGTCTTGGTCACAGGTCTCCACATCACAGCTGCCTTTTGTAAGCAGAAGTGCTACACAGAGCTAAAACTGATCACCACAATTAGGCAAATTGGTTATTTTAAAGTTTTATTAAAGGTCATGATTGTAAATGGCATTTAGTATTTTTTCCTTTCCTTTGCTTTGTCTTACCATATTCTAGGTGAATGAGAGACTGAAGGTCTGTTAATAATCTGTTTCCTTGCTAGTACTCCTTTAAGTGCAACCTTTTGATATTTTGGTAATTGTGCTATAGAATGACTCTAACCAGCATTCTAAAAATAGTGGTTATTCTATGTTACTTAAATAAAACTATTTTTAGGGGCTCCTTTCAGACTGCTGACTATAGTGCTCTTATTCTATAGTCAATGATATATTAAGCTACAGATAAAACTATTTTATATTTGCATTTTTGAAAACTTATATCCATCCTTTTGCCTTTTCTCAAATACCCACTAAATATTATCTTTTTATGCAGGAATGTGGGGACTAATAGATAATTTGGAGGGTGATTTTTACAAATTTAAGCCACCTTTTTCAAGGCCATTTTCATCAATTTTTCAGTTTGCGGAAATTGGAGAATTAGGGAGAGGCCAGGGGGATTTCGGAGAAGAGAGAGCACACGCCATGATCTTCTCAGATGTTCTTAGAAGTGAGGTATAATTGCAGGCCCTCTTGCTATGTGTATGTGGATCACTGAAGCACCCTGAAGATTTTATCCCCAGTTCTTTCACCCAGTAACTAACCGAATGCTGCAGTTCCCTGTCTTCATTCCGCGGCCTTGGGTGAATTAAAAGTAAAATTAAGTACCAGTAAATTCGGGGTGGAGGACATGGTCCTCAAAAGACCAAATCATTGTTTTCTGTTGCTCTTCTGAGACATGTAATCTATTCAGCTAATCAAATCGCATTATTTGTAGGCAAGTCATTTGCATAATAATAGTGGGTTGCTTTTGCTTTAATTCTTTTTAAATTGTGATAACATTACATCTCACAATTTAGACACCTTCTATAAGAATTTCTATTTTGCATGACTGCTGAATTTCATCTAGAGAGTAAGATAATTTAGTAAAGCTGAAAGTACCTGATGCTGTTGTCAGTGTTTAATGCAGTATGTTACACATTTTCAACAAAACACCAGCGGTTGTAATACTAGAGCAAAAATAGTATAGGTTTCTTGGAGTAATAGTAGTTTATCTCCAGTCAGGAATTCTTCTAGAACATTCGAAATGGAACATTTCACTAGGCTTTCTAACCTAGCTAGCAGTAAACTGAACATAGCATTTTAACTTTGGAAGGCATCTTTCATTGAAGTCTCTCATTTTAAAGATGAGAAAACTAAAACTTAAAAATGTTAAGTGACTTGCCTGTGGTTACAGAGACTATTTATGACAGAGCTAAACCTAGGCCTAGGAAAGAGTATTATACTTTATCCTGCAGTCTGTGATAACAGTATTTTCATTCCTTACCTAGTAGCATATTTCATAAACTATTAAAAACTATCATATCATACCCATTAGATTGCCTAGCCCAGATCCAGGTTCATTATAGGTTCTTAATAAAACGTTTTCCTAGTTTTAGGTAGTTATGATTTTTAGGACATTCAAAATGTACACAACCCTATGGCTATAGGGGAAAAAATGATGGAAACAATCAGTTATTGAATTTTATGTGCTTTACCCACACATGATTTTATTCTCACCACAACCTAGCTGGTCACGGGGCTGTCCATCATTGACAGGGGAGTTTCCATCCTAAACCTCACAGCCTGCAGATCTGAACTTGAATGCATATAACATCTTCTAATACATGTTTCATCACACACTTTTATTTTCATTCTCCTTTTCTCTAAATGTGTGCAGGCATTATCATGTCCCCCTCTGTTTTTTTTTTTTTTTTCTTTTTTGGTACCTGGGATCGAACTCAGGACCTTGTGCTTTCGAGGCAGGCGTGGTGCCACTGAGCTAAATTCCTGGCCACTCATGTCCCATTTTTAATCTCTCCATAACATGAGCAAATCAATTTTTGTTTGGCCAGCTCTAAAATGTGAACTGACTTGTCTCATGTTTCACACCTTCCAACCTTCCTCTTTTTCCTATGGTACAAGTAAATCATCTCTTTCAATTTGCTTTTCATAGTTGTTTTACACATTTCAGAATTGCTATCGCCTAATTCTCCCACCTACCCAAAGAATGACTTTTTTTATGAAAATGCTCAATACCCAATTTTATGTTATGCACTACTGGGATGAATTGATTAGCATATTGACCTTTACCAATAGACTTTTAATCGGCACATAGATATAAATTTGAGTCATTATTTTTTTCCTATTTCTTTTTTTTTGGTACCAGGGATTGAACTCAGGTCCTTGCGCTTGCAAGGCAGGCCACCGAACCATTGAGCTAAATCCCTGGCCCCTCCTATTTCTTCTTAAAGAAAAAGCTTCTTTTAACCTGCAATTTCATGAGCTTAGCATTTTTTTTTTTTTTGATTTGCTTGGCAGTTACATTATTTGAGTCTGACTTGTTTAGAATATTTTCCCAGTTGACTTATAACATTTTCATTTACTTTCACTATTAATATCACTATTAATACTTAGTTTTTTTCGTGGTTTTTGATCATGTCATTTGTCTTGACTTCTTTCTATTTCACTTTCTTTTCTCTTTTTCTAAAGAAAATTTCCTCACTAGAACTTGTTGTTTTCTGTTAGTCAGTGTCACATTAGTTACTCAATAATAACATGAAGGCTTGTTTTTTTACAAATGTAATTTTCCCCTGAATTGTGCATATTGTCACTTGATTTTTCCAATATGGGTTACATCTGGCACAATACTGAAATATTACTTTCCTAGTCCATAGTGACAAGGAGATACTTACAGGTAAATTTATCTACTAGCAGCTTCCATCTGTGAATTCTTTTATTTTGATTTCTCTATTTTGGCCTTTATCCATATAATTTTTATTCCTAATTAAATTACTTATTTTGTTAGATTCAAAGTCCCATTAGATCCATCACTCCCATTTTCTACTAATCCTCTATCAAGGGAAATAAATCTACCAGATCTCTCATTTTGGAGCAGAAATAATCCTGTGGCAGGTGATTTAAAATTAAGGATAGTGCTTTCCAGCAGATTGGCCGCTTCTGAGTGTAGTGATGAAAGCATTCTGAGTGGTGTAATTGCACAGAGACCTGAGATTTAAATTGCCTCCTACATTGGCCTTCTCTGATGGGCATAAATATATACGACTGCTCATAATTTGCCTTTTCGCTCTTCCATTCACTCATTTACTCAAAAATTATTTGCTGACTGCCTTTTACGTCTTCACTGCACTCTGTGCAAGGTGTTAGGGGGCACAGGAAGAAATGTGGAAAACTTGCCATTTGGGCTCTTAGATGGCCCTTTATAGGTGATATCTCACTGACCGGAAGATGACAGAACACCTGATACGTGGGCTTAACTGTGAGCTGCCCGGCAGCATCGACTGTTCTCTCTGTATTTCCTTCTTACCTTCAGTTTCTAGCGGGGCACTGGCTCAGAGTAGGAGAGTAGCAATGATCACATGAAAAGGAATGTGGAAATCACAATCACAAGTCAAATAGAATAGAAAGAGGGTTCCAGTGACGCCAATCAGAGCAAAGAATCCTAATGTGGACTTACTTAAGCATTGCTACTGTGAAGAGCATGGCCACTGCAGCTCACTCTTTAGAGACAGGACCACCAGCACTTACTCTACACCTTCTTCCAGATGGAGAAGTGATACTGTGCAGGCTACAAGGTGTCGCTGGACTAAATATAGTGAAAATATGGTGGCACATAAGTGTGGAAATTTCTTAAATGCCTCCAAAATGTACAGATACTATTCAGAAATAAGCAGATACATTATAATAACTCCTTTCTCATTTTAGTCCCTTTTCTGTTTATCCATGGTGATAGTAATCAAAAGATTTCTAAAAACAAGAAGTATTAACAATATGTCAGAAATATTGTAATTTAGAAACATTATTGGTTGAAACTTAAGCTGCTTTCTACTTTTTAGTGAAAATCGATGTAAATACCACACTCAAGCATAATAAAATGGAAACCTTTATATTCATCTAGAATTTGTGCTAGTTTTTTTTTTTGAGCAGCCATACATTTGAGAAAGAAATTTTTTAAAAATTCAAGTTAAAGATCAGTAATAAGAAAAGAGCCAGCCTTTCCTCAGTGTGTTTTGATAAGACCCGAAACATCAGCACTTTGGTCCTGAACACTCAGACCCCCTGAATGGGGGCTGGATGGCAGCCTGGCCTGGCTCCTGCATGTGGGTGCTGGGCGCTCTTCATAGCCTCGTGCTGCATGACACGCTTCAGACAGGCGTCCTGGGCCCCTTCGCGCCCGCGTCCTATGACCTGCGACAGGATTTCTGTTTGGTAGCATGCTTAGTGACATCTGTGTTCTGCTGTGTAGAGGATGCTAAAATACTTTTCTTCACTTGTCTAAGAATAACATACATGTATTGTGCTTCTTCTATCCCGTAACTTACACTGATGAAACATGTTTCAAATGTTTTTTGTGTTGTTTTGGAGGCAATATCTAGGTGTTAAAACTAGAAGTTTTAAGTGAACCAAGGAAACACCTATATGTTGCTTTCCTTTTCTTGTAACTATCTTGCAAATGCAATGAAAATGGGGGGAAGGTGGTGTAATTGTGTAAGAGTCTGCACACTGTATGTATCTTTGTGTGTGGGTGTGTGTGTGCGTGTGTGTGTGTAACAAGCAGATTGTTGTGTTGTTTAATTTTTGCTCCTTGAGAGAGTATCTAAGAGATTCTCATGAGTTTGTAACATAATGACAATAATTCACGCTAAGTTGACATGTGACCCTCCTAAAGGGACCAGCTTCAAGGTTAGACAACATTTTCTCTTGCTACACGTAGCCAAACTAAGTCACTTTAGATTGTGGTTTTCTCTGTCATGACATTTAGTTTATCAGATAAAGAAAAAATAATAGAGATGCCTTTGTATTTCTAAATTATGATTTTTCTATATTCAGTATATTATAATTTGGGAAAAACTCATGCTGGCAGGAAATCTGCCTTCAGCATGAGCCCAGGGTTCTAACTCCAGAAATTACACTTCAGAAACAGGGTTGAGGGTGCTCTGGTTGTTTCTACAACCCCTCCTCTCTTTGAATCAGTGAGGATATGGCAGAGAGATTTCTATTTAAAAAGTGAAAACATTCATTTTTAACCATCAAATTCGTGCTACCTAAAAACGTTAAGTTGTTGTGCTTTTCTTTTAGGATGTAATCAGTTAATAAATTTGCATCCTGGATAAGATATGTTGGCATGGATTTAACCTTGGGAGCAAACTTTGAAATCTTTATTGTCTTAGAATTACATTAAAATGAACTGGACAAGGAATAACTTTGAAATATCAAGTTGAATTAATTTAGAAAAACTGTAATTTGATTTTTCTAATCTACCCTTGCATTTTTTCAACATGTGAATTACTTAGGACATACTTCCAAGAAAGTAGAAGTCTTTGTATTTATAACAAGAAAAGACATCTATATTTTTATGTAATTGTCCAGTTTCTTTCAAAGTCAGTTTGATATATTAGTTTGCATATCAGATTTAAAGTCAACATTTTGAAAGAAAATTAGAATCCTTCTTTAGTAACAGATAAAAATTGTGCAAAAATTAAAACAACATAACTAACAGAAATAATGACACTGGTACAAAGTGACTTTTGAAAACAAATGTTTCACAGCTTAAATAAAAAGGAGACACTTTGAGAAGGAGACACTCAGGAAATACATTAACTTCCCAAAGTGCACTTACTTGCTCGAATATTTGAAAACGTGTCTAATCTTCTCTTTTAACTTTTAGCTTCCTGGTTAGTTTTATGGTGGATGCCCGAGGTGGTGCTATGCGAGGATGCAGACACAATGGGCTTCGAATCATTATTCCACCTCGGAAATGCACGGCGCCCACGCGAGTCACCTGCCGACTGGTCAAACGCCATCGACTGGCGACAATGCCCCCCATGGTGGAAGGAGAAGGCCTGGCCAGTCGCCTGATCGAAGTCGGACCTTCTGGTGCTCAGTTCCTTGGGTAAGGGTCTCTGATAAGCCTCACACTTAGTCACCGATGCGCTTGTGTCCTCTACATGAAATCTCTGACGTGGAATAGAAAAAGGTAAGTGAAACACTTTTGAGAGAAGATGGGTGTCTATGAAATTTTTTAGATTTGCAAGTAGCACCTCACTTCTTGGCCCACTTTCATGCCTCTTATATTAAGGCGTGAATGAGTTAAACATTCAGGTTGTTTGTCTCTCCTTTGAATGTGATAGTAGCTACAAGACTCCCAGTATGAATTACCAAATTGTAGGCCATGACAGGTATTTTTTTTTCTCTTCTGAGACTTAAGTAGCAAAATATAAAGAAAAAAATTACTACTCTATTACAAACATAAGTTTCAACTCTCATGTAATTAGGAAAAAATATCATTCTCTTCATTTTGGAGGGCAGTGTTACCTTTATAGGATATTTTAAAATTTAGACTATGTGATTTGTTTTTTCTCTTATCAAAATTGGTATCTCGAATCATATCACAGTGATAAATGTGCACCTATGTTTATAGTGGCACAGTTTGTAATAGCTAAAAATTGGAAACAGCCCATTTGCCCCTCCATTGGAAACTGGATAAAGAAGTTGTGGTTTTTCTATAAAATGGAATATTACTCAGCCATAAAGAACGAGAAAATAGATTCATTCATAGGAAAATGGATACATATTGAAGATATACTCCTAAGTGAAATAAATAAGGCACACATGTGTAAATACCGAATAGTTTCTCTGGTGTGAAAAACTATAATGGTATATAAGATCCTAATGATATAATTGACAATGTGAAATAGGAAGAAAAGGGCTAAAGGTGTAGGGGAAGTGGGAAGGGTAGAGGAAAGGTAATAAGGGCAAAGAAAATAAAAATGAGAAAACGAAAAAATGGAAATAAAGTATTTGTAAATAGGGAAGGAAGGAGGGGGTAAAGGGAGGGCAGGGACAAGAGGAAAAAATGAGAACCAAGATCTGTCATGTACAGGTACAAGATCCCAATGATGAATGTAACTGTACTGTATACCTAAAATGTACCAATAAGCTAAATGAGGAAAAAATATTGGTATCTTGAGCCTTAAAATTACACTGGCTATCTATGTAGTTACAGTTCATTTTAAGACAAAAATATCAAGACTACCTTCTGCCAGGCTCATTTTGGCAATTTGGAGCAGAAGTTAGCACTTCTTTCTTTTGTTTGTTTGTATGGTTGCTGTTCTATGAGGTAGCATCTCCATGTGTCAAGAAGTGAATAGCTGCCACTAAAACTGACAAAAGGTTGAAGCTTTGGAGTGGATCAAGTTTCAAAACAGTTTGAAACAAATCAATTGTATTTAAGTCTTGTCATAAGAAGTCTTAGTGCTTGAAAATCTGGGAGAAAATCTTATTAATCATAAACTGTTTTGCATTGTCAATGTCATCCTGGGGAGAGGGCTTCTCGCTTTAGAACTCAGGAAATGTTCTAAAGCCTGTAATTTAGAGCAAACAGTTAACAGATTGCTCGAAATTACTCTCCCACCCAAAAAGGGGTGTGTTGGTATTTCTTGATTATAGAAACCACCTCTCATGTCCTAGTCTCAGGCAGATCAGAGATTTAGAAGGATCCCGTGAAGTTCTGGGTTAATCAGAAAATGCCTTTATGGTTGGAGGAATCCCCAAACATTCATTCTTCTCATACCAGACTCTTTGCCTTCCTGCCCAGGTAGTTCTAGGCTTTTTAATGATCTTCCAATCCATTGGGACTATCCACGAAAACATCTGGCTTCTGGACAGAGCAGAGTTTTTATTATATTCCAAACAGCTTTGCCTTTCCTGTGGAGCATTTTTTTTTTTTTTTTTTTTTTTTTTTTTTTTTTTTTTGTCTTTTTTGGCTAGTGCACTGGCGGTGAACCTAACTAGGGACAGCCCTGACAGCCCCATCTCCTTGCACAGGCTCACCTCCATTGTCCACTCTAGGTGTCAGCTCCTTGCTCTTTGTGACTAATGGAGGGGACAGAACCAAACGCAGTGTGAACCCACAGTTCACCCTGTGGATCAGCTGGTGATGCTGGGGTTCTGTGGTACACAACACCTGAAGCTTACTTATGTTCTTTCTTTCACTGCTGCTTTGGATATACTCAGTAAACTTCACCTGCCAACGGCTCCTCCCCCACTTAATGAGGGAGAAAGTTTGGTCAGCCGCATCCTTCAGCTGGGGCCTCCTGGAACCAAATTCCTTGGGTAGGAGTGACTTAAAACAAATTGATGGCTGCTGGCGCCCACTCTTCTCCTTCCTCTGCAATATGATTTCTCTCTTTTGTCATTGTGCCCATGACATGTCCCTCTCTATGATTTAAACTCTATGATCTATCTTTAGTGGACCATTTCTGACCCTTGTGGTATGTGACTTTTATTTTGGAGTGATGTTTTTATATCTTTTTCCCTTCAAGTGCTGTGACCTTCATTTTTGTTTAAAGCATGAGATCTGCCTAGTTGTACTATGTGCTAGTTATGATGTTGTTATGAGTTTGGAGTCTGTATCAAAGCAACCTGGACTCAAAATTCTCTATATTCTGAAGATGAATGTGACCTAAACATTGTAGGAGGGTGCATGTCTGGGTCCTGAGTGTAATAGGCATTGGACACAGCTGGTCTGTGTGCTGCAGAGCTCACCGAGGTCTGCACTGTGTTCACATGCCTATTGTTTCCTTGGATGGAGACAATACAAGCAAAATCCATGAGTGCATGGCTCATTAGCACAAGTGGTCTCCCTTCCTCCCATCTCCTCATTTAAGACACATTGACACTCGCAATCTCTGAGCCATTCTCCCTCTTAAGCCATTTTGTCATTCTGCACCTTGTAGAAGATGTGTTTAGGAGATTGGCATACATCACAGACATGCATGCACGTTCTTTTGGTTAAATGTGTTAACCTTACATTTATCAAAGGAGAAGTTCCAGAATGCCACATGCACTCACAGGGAAACATCATTTGGCTTAAGGTAGCAGCATGTATCTGAGGACCAGTGCCCCTGAGGTGGAGTGCTACTGTGTGACCATCTGCTAGCCCATGGGCCCTGGAGGATGGCCCACCATGTCCCTGTCCCCAAAAGAGTGGAATTCCAGGTCACTTTGCAACAGACAGAGTGGAGGTGCTTGTCTTGCTGTTGGTTAGCTCCTGCCAACACTAATGATCCGCACTGCTGTGTCAGGCCTGTGATTGTGGAGATCCCTCACTTCGCTGCCCTGCGAGGAAAGGAAAGGGAGCTGGTGGTCCTGCGCAGTGAGAACGGGGACAGCTGGAAGGAGCATTTCTGTGAATACATGGAAGACGAGCTGAATGAAATCCTGAATGGCATGGATGAAGGTACCGTCCAAATGAACACTTTAAAAGCAACCTAGGGTGAAAGGATGAAAATAATAATAGTGTGTTCTTCCTTATGGGTGTCGGGGAGAGTGTGTCCCTGTGGTGCTTTACCGCACCCATGCTGTGCTCCCGTGGTGGTCAGTTGGAATGCATAGTACATTACCTGTTCTTCTGTTTTATTCATGAAAAGAAACTTTTAAGACAGCAACCATATCATTTTAATAAGAAGGAACAACATGCTTTCATCTTCACTGTAGACCTTTTAAAATCTAAAACTAGCGATAGAACAGATTTTGTTGCTTTGTGACAGTATTTGTCAGTACATCAGTTTTTAATTATGTGTATTCAGATCCTGAAGCTTCTGCCTTTTACTATCTTTTTATACCCAGTAGGCAGTAAGCACAGAATTGGCATTTCTATGATTTATAAAAGTTAAAAACTTTCCCTAAGCCCTTAAAATTCAGTTAACATTTTCCACATTTTAAACCAGTGTGATATATTTTTTTTTTGCATTGTACTAAATAGCTATACCAGTGAAATTTATACAGTGGCCCTGAGCCTGTCCTCCTGATGTTAGACAATATACTTGGTAAGTCACTGGCATCAGAGGAACCTGGAAATCAGCCAATAATCTTTTTTTATATCCACAGTTACTATCACAGAGACAACTGGAATAAACACAAACCTTACTTATCCTTTCAAGGCAGATTTTATTCTTGCACTACTCCTCTGAGCACTCGAAGGCCATATTATTTCTTAAAACCACAATCACTGGTCTTGGGCTAACTTCGAAATTTGCAAAGAAAAGTAGTTCATGCACAACTTCCTCCATGAGCCTAGAATATAACAGATCCATTTTTCGCCCACATTTGCCCTCAAATACCCTGATTTACCATGGCAGCCGTGAAGCATCACATCTGACTAGAGATGCCTTTCTTTCACAGTGCCCCAGGAAGTCCTAGTTTTCGCACAAAAAGAAAATGTATAAGCTGGATATTGATGGGTTTTGAAAAGCTATTAGGATGGCCTTACCTTTTCCATTCTCCCATTACTTAAAAAAATAAAAGCTTTGCTGCCACATTTGTCCACCATTAACCATGCAAGAGTTGGCTCGATTCCTTCCTGAAGGAAGTTCTTGGTCTATGAAGATGGATCCTTTTTTTGTCTCAGTGTTAGACAGTCCAGAAGACCTGGAAAAGAAACGAATCTGCCGCATCATCACCCGTGACTTCCCACAGTACTTTGCAGTGGTGTCTCGCATCAAACAGGACAGCAACCTGATTGGCCCAGAGGGAGGCGTGCTGAGCAGCACTGTGGTCCCCCAGGTGCAGGCTGTCTTCCCAGAGGGTGCACTGACCAAGCGGATCCGTGTAGGCCTGCAGGTATGTCCATGTTAGCTGCCTGTGACTCTCGCGTAAATTGTGTTCTTGTGATTAAAAATCAGTTTTGCATGGGCCCGGGATTTAGCTCAGTGGTTCCACCGCCTGCCTCATGAGCACAAGGTCCCAAGTTCGATCTCTGGTAAAAAAAAAAAAAAAAAATCCATTTTGCAAATGAAAACCAGAATGTTAGCATCAAATGATTCCTGAGCGAGCAAAGGCTACTATTACAGGTCTAATAGTACTAACTTTGTGATTGTCATATTTGACCTCCACCAGAATGGTTTGTGACATAAAATGTAAACCTCTGAATAAGACATTTGATATTACATATAAGAATAAATTTTAACATTTTTCTTTGCTTTGCCAAGGCTCAACCCATGCACAGTGAGCTGGTTAAGAAGATCTTAGGCAACAAAGCTACCTTTAGCCCTATAGTCACTTTGGAACCGAGAAGAAGGAAATTCCACAAGCCAATCACCATGACCATTCCTGTGCCCAAAGCTTCAAGTGACGTCATGCTGAATGGCTTTGGGGGAGATGCACCAACCTTAAGATTACTGTGCAGCATAACAGGTGAGTCATGCATGCCTTTGTCAGCAGAGACTTCTGAAAGAAGAAATGTGGGTAATCCCAAAAATTAAATTATCTTGGTCATAAGATGCCTGCTGAGTTACATGCATTAATTCAGGAAAAGTATTTTTAATTCATTAGGGAAGTAAAAGCTGAGAAGTAATATTATTTCTGAAATAAACTATGTATGTCAAAGTATTAGATATTTTATATGCATTGTCATTTAAATCTTTACAGTAACCCTATGAGAAAACTTCAGCACTCTGAATAAAAAGGAAATCAAGGCTGAGAGAAGTTCTGTAACTTTCCTGAGTTATACTGAAATATTTGCCTTACTTGGTATTCAAACCCACTCTCATTCAGTGTCATAGTCCAGGCTTCAAATTTTCATTGAAAACCTCACTGAGAGGGAAATATGACCTTGAATTATTATGCTCAGTAGTTCAACCAAACTGTTTTATCTAGCATCACTGATCTTTTGAACTTGCTTTGGAAACACAAAGTAAAACTTTTTAATGATTAACTGTATTTTGGTCTTTTCGATTGATCTTTGTAGTAGCTTTCAGGTAACTACCAAACTCTCAGAAGACATTCCCAAAACATTGGTTGTCTCTTCATAACAATTCCACTACAAACGATGAGATGAAAAAAAAGTTCATACCAATGACTTGCTTTAGGACTGCATACTTTGATAATTTCCCCGTTTTCTGGAGGGGTGCGGTGGGGAACCAGGGATTGAACTCAGGACCTTGCGTTTGCAAGGCAGTCACAGTGCTGCTAAACTAAATCCTGGTCCCAATAATTTCCCCATTTCAATGGCGATTATGTGGTGTTGGCATTCAGTAAATATTGACGCTATCCCTGATTGGAGCAGTAACCATTCCGGGTTAATTTTAATATTGTTTGCATTTTTTCGGTTCTCCTTCAGATTGGCAGAAATGTTCACCCTTATTTTGTTCTCCCTCTCTAATTCTTGTCTTACTGCTCTAATTTTTCCTTTGTATGAAAGTATTTTTCTTATTTACAGCAGACAACCATTCAGATTACCCTATGAGTTTAATGACGTGGCAGTAGTGTAAGATATCCAGACTTTGCCGAGTGTAGGGGATCATTGCTTCACTCTCATCTCTGTGGCATTGCTCATCTTTATGACTAACATTCCTGAGCATCTTTCCCATGGCTTGCGCCGTGGGTATGTAACTGACCCTTCTGTGACGCGCTGCGTGACGACCTGGACATGGACCCCATGAGACTGCAGATGTCGGTACCAGGCCCTGCCCTTGTGCTGAAATGAAGATACCGTGTGGGCCTGGCCACCTTTGCATCTGTTTCCTCCAGGGCTATGTCTCACATGGGCTTTTACTCTACAGTTCATTATTTAAAAATTAAAATTATGAAAAAAACAAATTTATGTGTTAATTTTAATAGCTAGGGGCTTAGATTTTTATTTTGCTGTATAGAGTTCTACCAAAAATCCTTTTTTTTTTTTTTTTTTTTTTTTTTTTTTTTT